AACCATCACTCCTTGTTGACCTGACTTTACTGTAGGTATTAAACACTCAATATCATATTTTTCATGTGGCCTTCTCCAAACCAATCTCCTACCATTTCCTCTGAATAATTCAAATTTGGATTCGTCGCTCCAAATAACACTGTCCCACTCATTTATCCATAATTTTCGTTCTTTGGCCCAGTTGAGTCTTTTAATTCTATTTGTTTCAGTAACAAGAGGTTTTCTTACTCCTACTCGACTATAAAAACCTTGTTCATGAAGATAATTAAGTAAAGTTTTTTTGCATACATGTGTGGAAGTAGAATCAACGAAATTCTCATGTAACTCCTGAAGGGTCATTTTCCTATCTTTTTTAAGAATTCTTATTAAATGTCGGCCATCCCTTTCTGTCATTTTAGGCGGTCTTCCAGTCCTAGGAGGGAGTGTTTCATCACCACGTATCTTGTAAGTAGAAATAACCTTATGAATGGTACAACTGGGACAATTTAATGCTTCAGCTATCTTTCGTTCACTTACTCCACATTTCCAAGCTCCAATGACTTCTCCACGTTCAAAAATTGTAAGTTCTCTTCGTTTGCAAGACATAGTAGTTAAAGAAGGTTCTAAACAACGCATGGGAAAAAATTGGAGACAAATTTATAATAAAATGATCGACAAAACTGGTTTTAAAGTTAAACAAATAAATGATCTACAGTCACGTGCTTACTGACTTATTTCCAGGCACTGTATATATAGTATAACATTTTATTATCGTAATTGCATTATTACATTTTTACTGATTACGTTTTAAAATACTTGAATACTGCGGATATTCTTTTTATAAGTATTATGAATTTATGATATTAACAACTTTGTCTGCTTTAACATTCAGCAATATATTTATTTATTTAGCCTAAATTATATATATTAATTTTTAGTTTAAATTTAATTTGAATTAAAGTTTAATATCTTTTTTTTTTAATTTATGATGCTCTTATTTGAAAGCTGTTTCGCCGAATGTTTGCACCATTCCCGGATAATCAGTAAATTATTATTTAAAAAAAAAAATTCCAATTAAATTTAAAAAATCCATTATCTGTTATATAATTAATAATTTTAAATTATTTATTGTTACGAATATTTTATTATTAGATTTACGTTTATAAATATCAACGAAATTTAGTAAAAATCTTATATCATATGAATATTTATTATTATACTGTATTTTTCATTTATTTATTTTTGAATTTTAATATTTATTATTCAAGATTCATCAAAAAAAATATATATTTAAATATTTTAGATTCTGATGATTGATGACGATGAAGAAAAAGAAGAAACAATTTTTGAAGCGATAATTTGATATTGGGAAAAACTTTTTTTAACATTTATATTTTATAAAGTTTAAATAGAGAACAAGAATAATTTTAATATTTGATTTTATAAATTAAATTTTTTTTTTATCTTTAACTAATTTTTATAGTTAAACCTTTATGATTTTAACCAAATACCTGAATGATTTCTCTTTATAATTAACGCATGATAATAATGTAAATTAAAAACGTCATTTTGTACAAGTAAACGCTTTGTTATAGTGAAACCCATACTCAGTGATGTGCATCGTGCATTGGAAACTTCTAATCCAAGGTTTTGATTGAAATTTCCAGTGCAAATCACTGCCCATACGGGTAAAGTTCGAGGATGATCACAATGTAGTACGTGAATGGCCAACTTCTATTTAAATAAACTGAACTAGGAAAGATGTGAAAAGATGTACAAATTTCATTGTCTTTTTTCCAAAATTGATTGTGTGCTGAGCGATAGTATAAAGATTAGGCAAAAATTTAAGATTATCAAACTTCATACCATATATCACGAGCCATACTGCCATAGTACCTCCATATATCGTACATTCGTACCTCCTCAAAAAAATTTTCTGAATTTCGATTTTAAATTTTAAAATATGTAAAATACACGGTATAACACTAGTAACTTTAAAGTAAATATATTACGCAATGTAAATTCTCGTATCTAATATCCACATATAATATACCCACGGCTCCCATGATATACGGTAAATACTAAATAGTTTTCAAATTTTTCAAATTAATTTTGTCATGCATATTGAACATTCATAATCCATATACGTTTTAATGTATTTATTTTTTTATTCGCAACATTTCAATAAAATAAACTAATATTGGCTATATAAAATTATTTATTATTATCTACAATCGTTTTCTTCATCTTCCTTTCTTGCAATCTCCTATAATTTTTGATTTGTTGTAGATTTAGGGTTACACTTTTCTTTGCCTCTTTTACGATTTCTTATAATGTTACCATTAGTTTGATTATCTATCCTTTTTTTAATATAGATGTCAATTTTACCTAACGAAACTTTAAAAAACTTTAAAATTTTTTACTTAAACTTTCGGTATTGATTAAAATGAAATGATATTAATTTCATTATTTAAAATTTTAAATTTATTACCCGTTGCAGCGTAATTTATTTCATTCGGTTTTTAATTTAAACTGTTGTTAGAAGCTTTATTTTATAAGCTGAAAACGATTTTAATAGAGTTTACCTTTTTGTAAAATGTTGCACAGAAGCAAATAACAAACTTTGTACCTTTTAATACCGAGTTAATAGCGTGATATGTGATTTATTTACAGATAATTCTAATACATAGTCTTGTTGCTTATTCCAGACAAAGTAATTTAATTAAATAGCAAAATAATTTTCACAAACCATCCTTCTTAATTAAAAAGATCACCAGAACTCAAATGTATACTGTAAAATTAAGTTATTCGACAGGCAAAGAATTTGTGTTTTGGACTTGTGGTAAAGGTATTTCTTTATGATCAATCATTATTTTGAGCACACGCTGACCTCGAATCAAGCATTGTCCTAATGAATAAAAACAATTCATTATATTATGTATACTTTGAAAATTGTCTGACATTTATCAAACATTTTTGTGCCAAGATTTCTTTATCGTAAAATAAATAATAATTATAATGTTTCTCTAACTGTCGAAGTCTATCGCTTAGCAATCATTACAAAAAGATTGTGTTACAAAAAAAAATTGTTACAAATGTAAAAGGAAACAAGAAGAGCGGTATTGTATATTATAGCGACGTAAGCCAATTTGTCTAATAAATTAATCACCATCTAACAAAAACTTCTATTAACTATAAGTATTGTATCGTATTGATACTCTTAATAACAATGTTTTTAATATGATTGTATAAAATATTAGGATAAGTAAAAAAAAATAAAAATAAAAATAAATAGTGGTTTAAGGAATTTAAACTAAATTGAACGTTCATTAAACTAAAGAATCGTCAGGTTCTGTACTTTCTGTATTTACTGTGTCTTCATTATCTTGTCTGTCGATTTCTTCGTATTTTTTAAGGAGTCTTTTATGATTAATCCTAACATATTTGACTTTCTTTAAATAATAATCATCTAAATAATAATCTCTTAATAAAGTTTCTAAAATTTGAACTCTTTCCTCTAAAGATGATCCTTCAGGTCTTTTATTAACTTTTTCAACTAATGGAATACCGGCAGATGAAACATATTTTCTTGCAAAATTTCTCTTTAAGCTTTTTCTGCAGTGCGTGCAAGAAAAAAGATATTTTTGTGCCAAACCCCTTTTTTAATAATAATAAAAAAAGATTAATTATTATATACAGAACAAAAAATTTCAATTATTAATTATTATTAATAAGTAATATATATATTATTTACCATGGTTCAAGTCTTTGCATTCCAAAAAATAAATAAAAGATTCCTATAAATTATGCTAATTTAACTTATGTACGTTTTATATTTTTTTCTAACATGATTTATAGCTTACCGGCTATAGCACCATAGAAACCTCCAAGATTAGATATTAAATCTGTGTCTGATAAAATTAAAATTAATTTGTCTGAATTTGCATTAATAAACTTAAGAGTATACTGTATACATACTTACAATCAAATTTTTTTGTTTTTTCAAACCTAGCAGTAAACGGATTTGAAAGTTTATGTGGAAAAATTTTAAGATTAACTTCATTGGATTCTAACTGTATGGGTAGTTGTTCTAATTGTAAATTTAATTTAACATCTTTATCAACAATAATTGGTTTATAAGATATAAAATAAGCTCTTCCTAGATAAAGTGAAAAATGAGCTGTGTCTATTATATTATTTATAGAATAATTTAGATCAGGATCAGCTTTGTTAAGAAATAAATATTGAAATGATTCAAAATTTAAAGATAATAAATTATTAGGAATAATATTAGGGTTACAATAAGGTTCACTATCATCATATACATAGAGATCACTAATATTATTGATATTAAAAGTGATATTCAACCAAATTTCCCTTTCATCCAAACTAACATTTAGACGACGGTGTGTAATATCATAATTTATTGTATGTCTAGGGATATTAACGTCATTAATACTGTTATAAATTCCGGCGGTACATATAGTCATATTAAGACCAAGTCCTATTTTTCCAAAAAAATTTGTATGTGTATATTTATTTATTAATGTTTATTTTCCATAAAAAAAAAAAAAAAGACTTTAATTTCCTTACCAACAGTATCTTCTAACTTAATAGCAATTGAAGCTTCTATGTTAATTTTTTGATATTGAGTTTTTGAATAAAATATGATTATCACGGTAAGTGTAATGGCAAAAAGACCTCGAAAAAATCTAAACCAAACTGGTTCAGTTGATCGATAATTACAAATTGAATCGCATAAAAACATTTTATCCTTCTTATTTTAATGTATATTTTTTAGATGAGAACATTTTAATATTAAAGAAGCGTCGACAATTTATTTATATTTTTTGATGATCCAACCATATTTATCTGATTCTTAATATTATTGTGCAACACTGAATGAATTAATTGAATATAAAATACTTTACGCCTTTTTTAGGTTTATTATAAGTTAAAGAAAAAAAAAATGGATTCCAATTCATATGATGAAAAAAAGAATAAAAACAATTGTTATTTTAATATTATATTCTTGGGAATATTTTTTGATAAAATTATAATTTATATTATATACATGTTTATATTACCAACAAGAAAGGATCGGTTGATTATAATCACCTCTGTGTTATTTGTGTCAGGAATTTATACTGTAAGTTTACACCTTCTTTTACTAGCTTCTTACTTTCACATTTATTATACTAAAAAAATTTGTTTATAAAATAGTATTGTAGAAAAACTTTACTATATTTATCAGCTTTTTGTGTAATAAATATTATACAAAGTATTATTTTAGTTGATTATATTCGCACTTCATCAAGTACTATAATTTTTGTTTCTCCGTTATCATTACGTTAATTTCTCTATTAACATTGTTTAAAAAAAATTTCTTATATAAAGTAACAAAATTTGACACTCTCATAAAGCTTTACGATGAGGAATTCCGAATGACATCAATTATTCGTGCTATTATTTTAATAGAATTATTTTTTGTTATTTTATATATTATATTAATTATTATGATGTGGAAAAATGGGTAGGTTTAAATCTTCTTTTTTAACTGTGAATTTTTTAACCGATTTTTTTAATGAGTTATAAGTTTAGGTATTGGAGTGTTAATTCATGTACCAAAATTAGACCAAATGATAAGATAAAACGTAAGTATTATCTGTTATAATTTATAAAAAAAATATATATATTAATTTATAATTCTTGTTTTAAAAATATAATATTAGAATCTTATATTATGTACAAATCTTTTAATTTCTTATTATATATAACATTACATATCATTGCCACATTCCACCTAAGTGCCACTTATACTAATTATCATGATCTTGTTTCTCTGAGTATGTATGATATTAACTATTTACTCATTTTGTTAACGATCAGTTTAACAATTATAAGTGTATTTATTTATTTAGATGTCTTTACCATAATTTTTACGGGGATGGGTTTTTTTTCACTATTTACTTTAACGTTCAGTTTTAAAATTGTAAGTATATTTATTCACTTAATCTTGTTGTAATATAAAATTTTATTTTATTTTAATAAATTTAATTCTAGATTAAAAGAGAATTAAAGTTTAGAGTTTTTTTAATTTATATTACTCTTATTGTACAAGGTCTTTGTTCTTTTTTTTTTTATTATTATTTTTGGAATGGAAAAGATATGATAGGCGGTGAGTTATTATTTTAAAACATCAAATTAAAATCTAAAAATCAATTATAATTAATAATTTTATTTTATTTTATTTTACAGTAATCATAATATTAATTTTATTAGTATTTACATTTATAAATACAATTTTATGTCACCGAAACTTTGGCAAATCTCATATACTTCTCAGTAAGTATTATTATCACATTTTTTTCTATTTTATTTATTTTGAATTTCAATAATTATCGCTCAAATATTAATCTAATTTTTAGTAAAGTTTAATCCTAACTTGGATAAGGATTATGAATATTCTGATGATCTGGATGACGACGAGGAAGAAGAAGAAAAAGATGAAAAGATTTCTGAGATATTAAACAGATATTGGAAATTTATTAAAGAATCTTTTAATTCACTAGTCCAAGAATAATTCAGTTTAAACTAATGAAATAATTTTTTATTTATTTATTTTTTTTATTATGATTATTTTATTACAAAGAGAGATATAATATTAGAGATAATCTTTTTTTAAAAACTTATTTTTTTTATTTTTATATTTATAATTTTAACTTTGATTAAGACCTAATATCATATGAGTATTTATTATACTGTATTTTCATTTATTTTATTTTTTTTTTTTAGAATTTCAATATTTAGAATACAAATATTAAAATGGCTGAAAGTATGGTGAAATTTTTTTATTTTAATTAATTTTAACCCTTTCTATAGAAAATTTTATGTTTCATATAAAAATTCTAATTCGTTATGGCTTTTTTAATTTTAAAAAATTCGTTATAAAAAAAAAAAATTTAGTAAAGGTGAATTGTATATCTTCAATGTAAATGGACCGATTTTACTAATAATCATTCTATTATAGATAAATGCATCATAATATAAAAATTTTCTAATCTAATATATTAATAAAATTATTTCAAAATTACAAAGATTTCAAATAAGATCCAGTGTTCCGCCAAGTTTTACTAAGAACTTTTGCCCTATATGTTACACAAAGAATATTTGGAATTCACGTGAACTACATAAAAAATCACAAGATTGACATGATATATAAAATTGATTTTTATCCAATCAATGCATGCCGATCAACCAATTTAAATAAATATGTAGGCGATATTGGAAATTCTTCAAAAAAATTTTTTTTTTTTGTGACTTAAATAGAGGTCAAGAATAATCTTGATATTTGGTTATAATATTTTAAACTACTTTTTATATAATAGTTTTATAAATAAGATATAATATTGGAGATATTCTAAAATTCTTATAAATTTATCCATATACACCTGAATAATCTCTTTATAATTAACGCACAGAAATCATGATAACAGCGTACTAAATTGCAATTTTATTTTAATTTATAAATAAACACTTTGTTATAATGTAACAGAAATCAAATATACGAGTAAAGTTACAAAGAAGTCTAGTGCCCACTCCATCGTAACATTTGTTATTACATACTCTCAGTCCCCACCTTCAAAACGTATTCCGCTAATAATAAATGAATTAGATTGTCAGGAAAAGATGTACAAACTTACATCGTCTCTTTTCCAAAATAATATTAACACTCAAAAATTATCCGTAATCTTTTGAAGTGTCATGCATGTGTGCTTAATGTTACTACAAAGATTACAAAATTTACAAGATTACAAACTTCACAAGACGAAGTTTTTAATAAGAATTTCCACAAACCAGTCAAACAATTTTTCTTAATAAAAAATTCCACCAGACTATTGGCGTCTGAGTGACAGACAGACAATAATATTTTTATTACAGTGTTGGCAATTGGACTTATTGGACCAATTAGATATTGGACTTATTGTACTAGTAACAATTAAACCACTTAAACAATTGGATAATTGGACTTAGTCTAATTCCAACTATTGTTATCATCAAATAAAAAACGATTTTATTTAACAACACAATCAAAATTTCGATTTTATTTTAAAAATTTAAAGGTTTTTTATAATTAATATTAACTACCAATAATAGATAATTTGGTGATTCTAAATTTTCCACAAAAATGTTTTTCAACTTCCATTTTGCTTGTAAATCAATAGCAGGATGTTGTAACTGTTCAATATTATGAATTGAGATATCATAAGTATTGGCAAAACTTGCCACTTCATCATCTTGATTTTCTTGAAATTCATTTTCAATCATCTCTATCCCATTACCATATTTTTCCATTCATTAATAGTTACGTATAAATATCTTTTTTATTTATTTATCATTGTTTTCTGTATCTTCGCCATTAGAAAGAATAAATATATCAACATTATCCTCTAAATTTGTATCATATGAAGTAATTGTTTTGTACTATTTTACATGAAAATCTAATTCATGAACCTGTTGTCTTTGCATATGTGCACGAATCTGTGCTAAACCTAGCACTTTCTCTGACTAAATACCAAAAAAAATATAATTAGTTTCGTTTATAATTAATTTATAAATAAATATATATACCTTTAATCTATTACTTTGTTTCGAATGATACTATCCCATTGTTGAAAACAATCGTTCCAAAGATGCCGTTGATACATTAGTAATTGAAAAAATTCGTTGGACAACTTTATATAATTCCTTTGAATAACCTTTTATAAAGTTCCAATAATCTAAAATGTTATTTTTAAATTGCTTAGAAATAGATTCAGTATAAGTATATTTTTTTGATCGATAATCTTCAAGTTCAGATAATAAAACTGTTGGTACCATACACAATAATAATACAAAGCCCATTTTGCTAAATGAGGAAATGATGAGTTTAAAATAGCAGGGTTAGATTTTGTATCATAATAAAATGGGTGTATGATAATAACAAGAGCGGTTGCTCCCAAGTCGCTTAATTTTTGTAATAAGTTTATTGGCTAGTTCTTGATCATCAAACTTTTAAGTATCATGATTACATTATCAAACCCATGAAAAACTTCATGCAGTCATGAATTTTACCGTTGAAGATTATTAAGCATCGCACAATACGGGACTAAAAGGGTCACAATTTTTTTAATACAATTCCACCAATTATTATCAAAAATGCAGGTTAAGAGTTTTTCGGGAAAATCTTGGTTGTCAGGAATAATATTTTCATCTATTTTTGTTGCAAGATTTTTCAAAGTAAAATATATTATATTAAAATCAATATTAAGATCAAATTTTAGTAGCATTTATTAAACGAACACGTAAAGCTACTTTTGCTTTCAATAAACTAGCAAAGCAGTAATAACCATCGAATGGTGGCTGAAGTAACTAATGCAATATGAGTCTCATAGACAGCCGCTTGTTCATTTTGAAGTCGTCCAACATACTTTTGATCGATTGAAAAAGGTAATCAAATTGATAGCTTCTTTAGCAGCAATATTTAATTTTGATGATTCTTTAAATATATCGCTAATACACAAATTCATTTGATGCGCAAAACACGGTAAGAATAGCTAATCCCGGTATTGAAGACGCAATCGTTTTCTAATATTGATAATGTTAATTAAAGTAAATCTTTAAATATTAATTTATAATACCTTGCAGCAGCATTTTCTGAAGCAGAATCTGTAGTTAATCTATTGATTTTAATCTTTTTTTTTTCAAGTTCTTCAAAAGATTTTCTTGTTTCATCTATTATAATATCCCCTGTACATCGTTTTCCGCTAATATCTTCAACTTTTCATATAATCAATCATGTTATTTTCTGAAGTAAATAAAATAGATCCTAATAAATTCTGACAAGCTACACTTTTCCAACCATCGAAGGCCAACATGATTCCAAGATCATCATTAATAGCGACATTAAGAAAGAACCTTAGTAGTTTTTTAAGAATTCTGTACCCAAGTTGTTTTCGATCTGGTAATACTAACATTGGATTAAGCCACTTAAAAAGTTCTTTAACTGCTGGATTATCAATCCAACGAAAAGAAAAACCACATGCAACTGTAACATTTAATTACAACCATTCATTTGCTCGGGTTTCACTTCATGATTGCTCTCTGAATAATTTCTTTAGTTTGTTCCGGAGTGTGTTTTTTAGCCCAATGAGGACAATTTTCAAGATTTTTTGCACATGCGCGTTTAGTATTAGTAAATTTCTGTTTCATAGCTTCTTCTCGGCCTAAAACCCTAATACAGTCTTGAAAACTGCGTAGTTGTTATACTTGTTAGATTTTTCTTCTAACATTAAGAAATATTCACCAAGCTTATGCTTTTCCCGTGTCATTTTGGTAAAAAATTCACAATCTTCAAAAAAATGTTCATTCAAGAAAAAAAAAGATTATCGATTTATTATGTTAGTCAAATTGGACTAAGTCCAATTGTAAATCCAATTGTCAATTGGGACGATTTGGATATACTAGTCCAAATCCAACAAACATTTATTGGACTAATTAGACAATTGGACACACGGCAATTGCAATTGTTCAATTGTCCAATAAGTAATTCTACACTAATTGGCGATTGAAATGTATACTTAAGTTATTCAGAAAATTCAATTATAAATTTCCAACATAAAGCACTTACTTATACTATGGTATCGAAGCACTTTCTAAAAGATAAAAACATTCATTTATATTTATTATATACTTTTTGGAATTGTCTGACATTATCTGACACACCCAAACATTTTGGGCCGGGAATTCTTTTCATAAAATAAATAACAATATAAATAGTGATATAAAGAATTTAAACTAAAATTGAACATTCATTAAACTAAAGAAGCGTCAAGTTCTGTACTTTCTGTATTTTCTGTGTCTTCATTATCTTGTCTGTTAATTTCTTCGTATTTTTTAAGAAATCTTTTATGATTAACCCTAACATATTTAACTTTCTTTAAATAATAATCATCTAAATAATAATCTCGTAATAAAGTTTCTAATATTTGAACTCTTTGCTCTAAAGATGATCCTTCAGGTCTTTTATCAACTTTTTCAACTAATGGAATACCGGCAGACGAAACATATTTCCTTGCAAAATTTCTCTTTAAGCTTTTTCTGCAGTGCGTGCAAGAAAAAAGATATTTTTGTGCCAAACCCCTTTTTAATAAAAAAAAAAATTAATTATTATATACAGTAAAAAAAATTTCTTAATTATTATAATTAATTTATTAATAAGTAATATAAATATATTATTTACCATGGTTCAAGTCTTTGCATTCCAAAAAATAAATAAAAGAGTCCTATAAATTGTGATAATTTAACTTAAGTACGTTTTATATTTTTTTCTAACATGATTTGTATCTTACCGGCTATAGCACCATAGAAACCTCCAAGATTAGATATTAAATCTGTGACTAATAAAATTAAAATATTAATTTGTCTGAATTTACATTAATAAACTTAAGAGTACATACTTACAACCAAATATTCTTGTTGATTCAAATCTAACAAATCTAGCATTAGCCGGTTTTGAAAGTAGTATATCTGGAGAAATTCTAAGACGAACTTCATTGGATTCCAATTGTATGGGTAGTTGTTCTAATTGTAAATTTAATTCAACACCATTATAATCAACCATGGTCGGTTTATGATGTATAAAATAAGCTCTTCCTAGATAAAGTGAAAAATGTGATGTATCTATTATATTATAATTAGAATAATCTAGATCAGATTTGCTAGAAAATAAATATTGAAATGATTCAAAATTTAAAGATAATAAATTATTAGGAATAGTATAAGGGTTACAATAAGGATCACTAAAATCGTGAGATATGGTTTCATTATTAATATTATTATTAATATTAGTAGTAATATTTAGCCAAGAATGAAAATTAGAAAGTCCAAAACTACTAAAGCTAACATTCTGATGGTTTACTGTATCGTTGGTTAACGTCAGTACTCCATAATCATATTCAGAGAACACACTAAATTTAACGTTATTAATCCCGTTGGAAATTCCGGTACATATACTCATGTTAAGTTTATATCCTATTTTTTTCAAAAATATGCATGTTTATTTTATTTATGTTAATTTTCAATCCTTTAAAAAAAAAAAAAAAAAAAATTTTTTTTTTCTTACCATTAATTCGTTCAAATTTAACAGCAATAGAAGCCTCGGTGCCGATTTTTTGATATTGAACGATTGCATAATATATGATTATTCCGGTGAGAGTAATAGCAAAAAAACCTCGAATTAATCTAAACCAAACCGGTTCGGTTGACCGATTATTCCAAATTGTATCTAAAAACATTTTATCCTTTTATTTTATTGTAAAAATAAATTTGTATTTTTTTGCAGAAGAATATTTTATTATGAACTGAAATTTTACAATACGTATCTGCCTGATATAAATTCATTTGCTTCTTTTATAATTAGGAACATTAAATACTTACTTTTAGAATGTGATAATAAGCAAAATTATATAAAATATCAAATAAAGTAACTGTACATATAGCACTAAATTTATCAACAGACTTAAACAGTTTCTCTTCCTTGTACAGCATATACGTGCCGTCAAAGAAAATTAATAATATTAAATGAATTCCGACTTTGTCATTATCTTATTATTATAATAAAATACATTGTTACAATTTTCTTTTTTGAACTCCGGTGGAACGTATAGTTATAAATATTTTCGACCAATGAAACATAATTGGTACTATGGAATGCGTGACTGGACAGAAATTTAACGTTGAGAGTTAAGTTGCTTGGCATTTAAGGTTAACTGTGATTTGCTATTATTGTCAAACAATTTGACTTCACGGTCAAATCCTTTGTAATACTGCCAAACAGTTTCAAACAGTTTGACGAAGTGTAAATAAGGTTCCATATTTAGTTAAAATTCAAATGGTGTAAACTAATTTAAGTAATTCTATTAAGAAATTCTCCTTTTTTGAAGTCCAAAAAGGGAGGTATATTTCCTTTTTAGGAAAATTATTTTTTAAAATTTATTTAATGCCAAATGCTTCAGTTTATGCTTCAAATTCAAACAATATGTCAAAACAATATGTACTACACCTTTAAACTTCTGTCCAGCCTAGCATTCCATAAATTGGTAACCCAACAATTATTTTTGAATCTCACAAAACTGTGTAACTTTGTCTTGTACGAATTCTATAAAAATAGCATTGCTAGTTGGCACGTATACTCAAATTTTTGGCATATTTATAATAGAACCATAATTGGGGCCGACATGTCATTCAGAATTCAGAAAAAAAAAAACTAATAATCAAATGCATTGTTAAATTTCCTTTTTTTGAACTCCGACAACATTGTCTATTATTAACACGTCAACTGTTTGGCCACTCGCATTATTAAAACGCAGCACTGAATGATTGAATATAAAAATACATTATAGTTTATTATAAGAAAAAAAAACATGGATTTCAATTCTAATAATGAAAATCAGAACAAACGAAATCGTTACTTTAATATTATATTCTTAGGGATATTTCTTACTGAAATTATAATTTACATTATAGGCATAGTTATATTACCAATAAGATCAGATTGGTTGATTATACTTGTCTCTGTAATCTTTATATCAGGAATTTATACCGTAAGTTACTTTCTTTTACTAACATTTTTTTATTTTTATATTTAATATATTAAAAAATTTTTCTATTTCATTTATAAAATAGTTTTTTAAAAAAACTTTATTTTATTTATCAGCTTTTTGTGTGGTAAATATGATACAATGTATTATTTTAATTGATTTTGTGTGTCTTTATCGTTACAAAATACTCCATAAGGGCAACTATTTCTTGAAATATGGTAATTATTACGATGTTCTTTTATTGTCAAGTACTATACTAATTTATATTTCTTCATTATCATTATCATCAATTTACGTTAATTCTCTAATAACATTATTAAAAAAAAAAATTTCACGTAAAGTTACAAAACCTAACGTCTTTAAAAAGTTTTACGAAGATGGCGTATTTGACGTATTAGAAAATGAGAAGAAATACATATCAACATTTATTATTCCAAATATTATTGCTATTTTTTTAATAATAGTTTTTATTAATCTATATAATGTATTAATTTTTATGACGTGGAAAAATGAGTAAGTTGAAATTCATCTTTTTAGTAAATTTTTAAGCAATTTTTTTTTTTTTAATAATTTATTAAATTTAGATACTGGGATTTTATTTCACGTACCAAAATCTTAATACCAAATGATAAGATAAAAAGTAAGTATTATTTGTTATAAAAATTATCTATTAGTATTAGTTAGTACTAATTTATAATCCTTTTTTTTTTAACATAATTATGTATATTAATATTAGAATCTTATATTATATATAAATTTTATAATTTCTTATTATATATATTATTAAATCTTATTGTTATATTTAATCTATTCGATATTTACGATATTTTCTCTATTACAAGTATGTATGGTGTAACTTTTTCGTCACTATTTACTTTATTTATTTTAACGTTCAATTTGAAAATTGTAGGTTCAAATTCATCATCTACTGACTTAGATTTAAGTATAATTATTAAAGCGATAAAAATTTTGTCATTATTTACTTTAGCATTAAGTTTAAAAATTGTAAGTATATTTATTTAATCTTTTAACCTTATTTTAACATAAAATTTATTAATTTTTATTTTTTAATAAATTTAATTAGATTAGAAAAGAATTAAAATTTGGTATTTTTTTAATTTATGGTTCTCTTATTGTACAAGGTCTTTGTTTTTATTTTTGGTTAGATGTTCAGAAGTATTCTGAGGTAGACAATATGATAAATATGCTTTCGATAAACAATAGAATGCCTGCGCTTACGCTAAGCAGTAAGTTATTATCAAATTTAAATTTACAAATCCACTGTAATTAACAATTATTATTATAGGAATCTTAGGAATAATTTTATTAGGATTGACGTTTGTAAATACAATTTTATGTCATCTAAACTTTGGTAAACATCATATATTTCTCTGTAAGTGTTGTTCAATATTTCATTTTTATTTATTTTGGAATTTCAATACTTATCATTCAATATTCATCTAATTTTTAGTGAAGTTTTTTAATCCTAACTTGGATAAGGAGTTTGAGTACTTAAATGATATGGATGACGACGACGATGATGACGAGGAAGAAGAAGAAAAGGATGAAAAAATTTCTGAGAAATTAAACCGATATTGGAAATTTATTAAAAAACTTAGTCGAATAGGTCAAGAACATTAAATTTATGAATTAATTTATTTATTTGTTTGTTTATTTATTTTTTACTATTTTCAAATTTTTTTTAACATCCATTATATTTAAATTAAAATTCATTCTAAAATAAATAAATTCTATAATTTGTGAAATTTATTAATCTCCCGGCACATGCCTTCGTCTTTGAAAATATATGTGAAAAAAACTTTAAGACGAACTTCATTGGATTGAGTAGTTGTTCTAGTTTTGGATTTAATTCCAATTTATATTCTAAACTTCCATAATTGTCTTCATAATCAAAAATGATCGGTTTATAAGATATAAAATAAGCACTTCCAAGATAAAGTATTCTCTATTATTATTATAATATATATAATTATTGAAAATTAATTTAGGATTGCCATCACGACAGTAAATTATTAGGAATAGTATGAGAGTTACAAAAAAAGATCACTAAAATTATGAAATATGTTTTCACTCATATTATTATTGAGATTAGTAGTGATTTTCAGCCAAGACCAAAAAGTTCATCTGTTACATATCCTCCATAAAAATAAGACAAACTGACAATTTGACGGTATATTGTATCATTGTTTATTGTAAAATGAACAATACTTTTGTTATTTAATTTACCGTAGAATAAGAGGATGATGGTTAGTTAGGATTTACATAATTACACTCAATGAAGCGAGCATTAGGTTTCTTCTTTGTAACTCCCCTATATTTGTTTACATTATAGCAAAGCGTTCACTTATGAATAAAAAAAAAATTTTTTTTTTTGTTATCATGATTTCTGCGCGTTAATTGTCCTGAGCATTAGCGAAGGAGATTCTACTGTACTGATTTTGCGGTAACCCATGCAATTTTCCTTCCATCCGCTGACGTCACCTCACATTTTAGCCCTTGCTTTCCTTTTTTGATACCTTGTAACTGATGATTTTGTAATTGCTTATGTTACCACCAATTTATGACATTTGGTAGGTAGTAACAGAAAGAAGAATAAGGATCGGTAGGGTAGTGGTAAGGTAATGTGGCGATAAATAACTAATAATAAGATGAAAGTATACGCGGTGAATGATAATGGACGATTATAAGCGATGATCAGCAAGGTAATGGTTAGGATAGTGTGTTTATAATATCAATTAATTGTAAGTGTATGTAGTAAAGCAACGATGTATAACGAAAGTTAACAAATGTTAATAAATGATACGAAACAACAATAATAAACAATGTGATAAAACGTGTATCAATAATTCGGAAGCAAATCGACAGGTTTATTCATAAAAAAAAATACGATATTACTGCCTCAACCGGCGCTCTGTAATATCCGTATATCTACTATACAATAAAACTAGACGAATTCTAACTGAACTATACTTCTATCCTTCAACACCAGTCCTTTATATAACATTAAATTTTTTAGGACGATTCTGTCCTTCGGACATAATTGTCTCCCGGCCAATATCGTCTCCCGGCCAATTGTGGCGATCTGGGCACATTTGTCTATACAGCCACTTATATTCAGCCACTTTATATCGCTAAGCTTCCGCTTTTTTATCTAATCTATAAACAACCAAAAACAACTACAAGTAATCTATCTAAAAATAACTAAAAATAACTAAAAGATAAAAATAGAAAAAAAATAAAAATAAAAAAATAAAAATAAGAAAAAATATCCCGTGACACCAGCATTAATAAATTTAACTAGCAAACAATCAAAATTAAAACGCAATCTTAATCTCAAGCTAACCTTAATCCTAATCTCAATCCAATCTCAATCAGGGCTCAGGGGATTTGTGAAGACGCCCAATATACTATTGTTATTGACGGGCTTGCTTAATAATTGTATGATGTAGCACATCGTCAGTTCGTGCCACCCGTATAATAATAATTTCAGCAAGAAATATTCCTAAGAATATAATATTAAAGTAACGATTTCGTTTATGAAATCTATTTTTTTTTAACTTTTGATAGAAAGTGTATTTTATTTTATAATCATTCAGTCGCCGAGAAAACCAAACCTGTACGGTAAGTTTTTTTTTTTTTTTTGCAAGTTTGTTTATTATCTTATCATATCAGTCAGTATTTTGTTATTATTATTGTTTCTCATTGTTTTCTAATTATAAATATGAAATAACAAAACAACAACAATAATAATATTATTATTAGACTTATGTGTATTGGAAAATTAAGTTCATAATAAAAAGTATGTATTTCGCTAATAGGTTGTCTTGGATTTTAGTTATAATTTATTATATACTTTGGGACTTTCTGTAATTATCTGACACACCCAAACATTTTTGGGCCGGGATTTCTTTTTGAAAATACACAGGCAATCGCGATAAATAGGATCTTCGATAAACCGGGACTTTACTAATAAAATCTGGTATATCGCGATTGTTTTAATATGACAGATTTGGTTCTGAGAGAAAAATCTGAAATAACACCAAATCCGATACTATTTCATAAGTCGGATTTGATTCTATATCAGTTATATCAAAAAAAATCTTGATATATCGAATTTTTCCAAATTTGGCGTTAATGTATCCTTAAAATTGCTTGATTCCAGCCGAAATGGTTAATTTTGACCAGAATTAAAATTAATCATTTTATACCGAAATCTTTTACAAATAGTGCTAAGATTTTTTGATATATATCGGATATCTTGATATGCAATCGCCTGTGGTATAGCAGATAGTTCTTTTATATTAATAAAATTATATTTCGTTTTTGAATTTTAAAATTTTGAACGAAAAATCACGTGATATCTTGGTATTTCTGATTTTTCGTATATTTTATATAAATCCGGTTTAGCAAGATTTTTTCGATATATTGGATGTCTTGATAGATATTTTTACTGGAACCAACTGATCCGATTTATCGAGATTGCCTGTGTACATTTCGGAAATTAATATAATGATAATTAAAAACATAAACTCCATATTCAAATAAAAAACATTACCTGTTACCGTTAACTTCAATACTATTAATAACAAAGCTTTTGATATGATTATACAATGTGATTATACAACTAAAAAATTTCAAATTGAAAATCCTAGAACAAATATATAAAGAAAATAAAAGTAACAAATAAATATTTAAACTAAAATAATTGAACATTCATTAAACTAAAGAAGCATTAAGTTCTGTATTTTCTGTATTTTCATTATCTTGTCTACCGTATTTTTTAAGGAGTTTTTTATGTTTAGTTCTAACATCTTTAATTTTCTTTAAATAATAATCATCTAAATAATAATCTTGTAATAAAGATTCCAAAATTTGAACCCTTTCCTCTAAAGAAGATCCTTCAGGCCTTTTATTAACCTTTTCAACTAATGGAATACCAGCAGATGAAACATATTTTTTTGCAAAATATTTTTTTAAACTTTTTCTACATTGCGTGCAAGAAAAAAGATATTTTTGCGCCAAACCCCTTTTATTAAAAAGAAAAAAAAAAAAGTTTTTATATATAAAAAATTTCCTAATTATTAATAAGTAATATATACTAATTACCATGGTTTATGTCTTTGCATTCCAAAAAACAAATAAAAGATTCCTATAAATTGTGTTAATTTTATTATAAACCTGTGTATGTATATATTTTTTTCGAACGTGATTTGTAGCTTACCGGCTATAGCACCATAGAAACCTCCAAGTTTAGATATTAAGTCTGTGTCTAATAAAATTAAAATTATATTAAATTAATCTGAATAATTAATAAATATAGGTGTATAATATATACTTACAATCATATTTTCTCGTTGTTTCAAATCTAGCAATTCTCGGATCTGAAAGCAGTAAAACTTTAACACGAACTTCATTGGATTCTAATTGTATGGGTAGTTGTTCTAATCGCGGATTCAATTCCAATATATATTTTATATCTTCATTGCTAACAATAATCGGTTTGTAAGATATAAAATAAGCTCTTCCTAGGTAAAGTGAAAAATGAGCTGTTTCTATGTCATAATTATCATCATTGTTAATAATATTATTTTTATTACTGTTGACATTATATTTATCAGTATTGAAAATTAGATAAGACTCGTCGGTAATAGAAAAATATTGTAATGATTCAAAATTTAAAGACAATAAATTATTAGGAATAGTATGAGGGTTACAATAAGGATCACTAAAATTGCGAGGTATAGTTTCACTAATATTATTGTTGATATTAGTAGTGATATTTAGCCAAGAATAAGAAGAATAAGAAGAATAATAATTCAAGCTAATATTCTGATGGTTTATTGTTTCGTTGGTTAACGTCGGATTTGCTCCATAAGATTCAGAGTTAAATTCAACTTTATTAACCCCGTTGGAAATTCCGGTACATATACTCATGTTAAGACTATGTCCTATTTTTTCAAAAATATGTGTTATTTTATTTATTGTTAATTTTCAATCCTTTACAAAAAAAAATTTTTTGTTTCTTACCATAAATACTTTCAAATTTAATATCAATAGAAGCCTTGGTGTCAATTTTTAGAAATTGAATGAATGAATAATATACGATTATCCCGGTGAGAATAATAGCAAAAAAATCTCGAAAAAATCTGAACCAAACTGGTTCAGTTGATCGATAATTGTAAAAAAACATTTTAATCTTTTAATTTTATTATATAAATAATTTCTTACTTTTTTTTGAAAGAACGTTTTGAAGCGTTTTTATTATGAACTGATGCACATCAGGCTAATATTTTTTTTGGAAAACCATATTTATAATTGGAATGATTATCACAAATAAAGTTACTTTTAAATTTCTTTCCTTTTGTGGCTTTGAATTATTTGATCTACATATACGGCTATACGTAAAAAAAATTTTTTTTTTTTTTAAAAAAAAAATGGATTTCGGTTTGAATAACGAGAGAAAGAATAAACGAAATCATTTCCTTAATATTATATTCCTAGGAATATTTCTCGCTGAAATTATAATTTATATTATAGGCATAGTTATATTACCAATAAGAACGGATTGGTTGATTTCATTCGCCTCTGTATTCTTTGTGTCAGGAATTTATACTGTAAGTTTATGCTTTCTTTTACTAACTTTATTACTTTCATATTTATTATACTAATAATTCATTTTATTTCGTTCATAAAATAGTTTTTTAAAAAAACTTTACTTTATTTATTAGCTTTTTGTGTAGTAAATATTATACAATGTATTATTTTAATTGATATTGTGCAATATTTTGCTTTTGGTGGTATAACAAATGTAACATTATGTAATATAATTTATGTATATTCGTTATCATTAATTTTGTGTCAATTTTCTCTAACATTATTTAAAAAAAAATTTTCATGTAAAGTCGCAAGACCTGACGTTGTCAAAAAGTTCTTACATGGGATTGGTGAGAAGGAATACAGAATGACATTTATTATTCCAAATATTATTGCTGGTGGGCTAATAATATTTTTTGTTTTTTTATATATTATATTAATTATTATGATGTGGAAAAATAAGTAAGTTGAGATTAATCTTTTTAGTAAATTTTTTAAGCAATATTTTTTTAATGATTTATTAATTTAGGTACTGGAATGCTATTTCACGTACCAATATTTCAATACTAGATATGCCAAGTGTGATAAAAAGTAAGTATTTATATCTGTAATAAAAAATTATTTATTATTACTAATTCATAATCACTTTTTATTAACATATATACTTATATTTTTTAATATTAGAATCTTATATTACATACAAATTTTATAATTTCTTATTGTATATAATATTATATCTTATTGTCGTATTTAACCTAATTGGTATGAGTAATAGTCTTTCCTTATTAAAGGGTACATATGGTGTTGTAGATTTACTTGTTGGTATAAGTATTATAGTGACTAATTTTTTGTCATTATTTACTTTAACATTAAGTTTAATAATTGTAAGATATTTTATTTATTTAATATGTAAAACCACCCGGCGGTGTCACGTGATTGTAATAATATATAATTTGTTTTTTTGTTTCAAAAAAGGAATTTGTATGTCGATTACTTAATTAATAATCACGTGACACCGACCACAAACTCCTTTAATATAAAAATTTAACTTTTTAAATTTAATTTTAGATTAAAAAAGAATTAAAGTGTAGTGTTTTTTTAATTTATATTGCTCTTATATTACAAGCTATTTTTGTTTTTTTTATGGCAAATTATCTTATGATAACCGGTAAGTTATTATTTTAAAATATCAAATTTAAATTTAAATCTAAAAATCTATTGTAATTTACAATTATTATTACAGGAATCTTATTATTAACTTTATCCGGATTGACACTTATAAATACATTTTTATGTCACCGAAACTTTGGTAAAAATTTTATATTTTACGGTAAGTATTTCATTTATTTATTTTTGGAATATCAATAATCATTACTCAGTATTCATCTATTTTAATTTAGTCGAGTCAATGAAATTTAACCCTAACTTGGACAAGGAGTTTGAATATTCAAATGATTTGGATGACGACGACGATGATGATGGGGAGGAGGAGGAGGAGGAGGAGGAGGAGGAAAAAGATGAAAAGATTTCTGAAAAATTAAAACGATATTGGAAATTTATTAAAAAAACTTTTTATGATGTTTTTATTCCATTAATTGAAGAATAATCTTAAAACATTCATAAAACATTCAATTCATGAATTAAATAAAATATATTTATATTTTTTTACTATTATTTTATTTTATTTTTTAATAATAAAGAGATTGGAAATAGTCTTCTTTATATTAACGGGCAATAATTCTGTATTGATGCTTCATTTATATCATCTTATAGACAAAAAATCTTTTGTTTTCATATCTATAAATGATCACATTCATTGTGTTAAATTCAGGTAAAAAATCTTGTAGCAGTTACTATTAAAGAATGATGTAACCCCCCTACTACCTTAATAACTTTGAATTCATTTCACTATTTTCTTTCAAAATTCTGAAAGAGTTATCCCAAATAATTACATCTTTCATGTAACAGAATGCTTTTTCTAATATAAAAAGTATTCAGATTTTGACGACAATAATAAGTTTATTCTTGGATACATTTCCATAAGAAAAAAATTTTTTCCTTTTAAAATAAATTTTGTAATATTCCCAAGAATATATTATATATTAAAGTAACGATTTCGTTTATTTCGCTTATTTTTTTTTTTTTATTATTCGAATTGAAATCCATTTTTTTTATAACTTTTGATAGAAAGTGTATTTTGTCTTATTATCATTCAGTCGCCTTCTTAATTTTATAAATTAACGTGATTTGCATATGCCTTGTCACATGAAAAATTAAATTTTGGTTAGTGATCACGGGCTATTTCCAAAATAGGAGTGTGAAAATTAGGAACTTAATATTTGACGTTGCCAGAACTACATAAGGTTAAAGCCCATGCAGATAATCAGTACCATAATTTGTTAGATAAGAGAATTAAGGAGCATTTCCAAGATATTCATAGGACTTATACGATTGATGTGAATTATACGATTGTTTGGGGCGATATATTGATAGAAAAACAATTACGACGTTTTGTAAGACATTACACTGAAATTTGTAATATAGAAGATTTTCTGAAGCTTAATAGAAATTTGAAACAAATGTAGACTGGAGGGTGACTTTCGAATATTTGAAAGAAAGTGAACAAGCATTAGTTACGTCATTTTGGACAACAAAGTGAAGAAGAAAATAGATACAAAGGTTGATAGAAGAGATTCCAACCATAGAACAATGTAAAAAATCTATGTACGAAAAATATAAAAATTGGATTTGCGTTCGTTGTAGAAGAAAAAGAGAAACTTTTAACCACGTTTGGTTGTGTAATGCTCAAAAGAAAAAGATTAAAGATATTATTAAAAGAGCGTTCTCTTTTATGTATGAAGAAATCAATAAAGTTCAATAAATATAAGGTCGATAGTTCGGAATGGTATCAGTTGCTAAATGCTGAAAGTTTACAAAACTATTCGCCAGCAAAGTTGATATGACTTTTATAGACAAAATTAAAGGCATATTTCCTTGAAATTATCTGATTTTTTGAAAAATAAAGTTAAAATGAGTTCTGTTGATAGGATTAAAGTAAGCTCAGCTTTTTTGGATTTCGTATATGATGAAACAAAGTTGATTTGGAAATAACGTTGTGATTTATAAATTGCCAAAGAAAAGGCGTTAGATATTAATAAAAAGAAAAAAGTAAACGCGAGCGGTGTTGGCTATGCTAATCAAAATAATAATGGAAATGTATCAAGTGCAAGCCAATTATCAAGGGCGAGGGGTTTGCAGAATAGTATATATTTCAATTGTGATTATTTGGATTTTATAATGCATGTGATCCAGTTTATTGATCGCTCTTTTTAATTCTTGTATTTTGCCCGTTTTCACTTTTACTTATAGTCCGTTTAAACTGGTTTGTCTGAGGTATTTTATGTATTAGTTATTTACTGATCTAGTAGTATGTAAATGGGTTATCATCCGACCATTTATATACAGTAACTAATACTTATATTCTAGATATTTAGATTAGTATTATTGTTTAGTTTTTACTTTATTAACTGTAACGCCAAATTAAACTAAAGACATGTATTTAAATTCCAATAAATTCTTAATGAAGTTTTTGTTAGCTAGTAAAAAAAAAACATAACCAATTCTTTCAATTATTTTACACTTAAAGAATCCATTTTTTTTACATCGCTTTATTATTTTTCGATTTTTTATTGCAAGTAATAATATGAATACTAATATAATTTTTAAATTATCGGATTAAAATTTGGATGTATGAAGATGAAAGAAAAGAGAAATTTACATTTTTCACATTAAATAAACTTGTAAATCTTAAACAAAAATTAATAAAGTTTTATATTGTAAAAATTGTTACGATAATGAAATTGATGAAGAAAAATATCGTATTCTATATGGAAGATATAAAGGATGTTCTCAAATAATGAAAATTCAATATTGATGTTCATCTTGTAATTCTTAACTTTTCAACAAGATTTTAATAAGTTGGACTAGTGTAAATAAATTTACAGCATATATATATATATATATATCTGATGTTTCATAAATATTTATAGAAAACTTCTCATTATCTTATACATATTTTGATATTATATATTTAAATGAATGTCAAGGCCCAAATTTTCTCATTTGTTTAACTAGTTCAAACAAAAAAATGTGATAGTGTGGAAGTTTTAGTGTTTTGCTTCTAATAAAAATATTTTTTTCGCGCCTAATGAACGCAATTCCCTTATTCATCATTTATTAAAGAGGAATTTAAACCACTAAGTTTTTATACATGAGGTTTAGGTGATTATATATCAGTTCAACATTTAATTAAATTAATTATAAGATAAAGTACAGTAAAATACAAAACTAAATAATGAATAAATAATAAATAAATTCCTATAATTACACAAATATTAAAGAATGTTAGTAACCAATGATTTGTTAACACAAATAATATTTTTTGTTAATATCCTAATTTTGGCTCAAATCAAATGATAATTTCACATTCTAAACATTCAGAATTTAAAGTATTCAATTTTTCTATAATAATAAAAAAAATGTATATATTAACTTTATTATTTTGAATAAAATAATATAAAATATTATAAAGATAATTTTTACCTGAAGATACAAATTCTTGTTGATTTGGACAATTTATAGGTTCTGGTAAATTTGAATTCAAATTTTGAGAAATGAGAAGTCGACTTGTATAAATAGCTTGAGGATGTGTTTCATAAGATTGCATTGTTATTGTTTCATTGAAATTAAGTAACATATTTTTATATTCATTAAGATTGTTTGATAATGTATAAAAAATTTCTTTAGAAGTTGGCCGGTTTTCTGGATTTGCATCCCAACATTTTTCAATTAATTCTCTTAAAGAATTTGGAGTTTCGGCTCTAATATTTGGACGTAAACCTCGACAAACATCCAATACAAGTAAATGGTCATGTGGTTGCTTATTAAAAGGTGGAATTCCTGTAATTATTTCATTAATAATAATACCTAATGAATATATATCAGATGCCAGTGTATGTGGTTTTCTACGTAATATTTCAGGTGCAATATATGGAATTACTCCATAAATATTCTTTTCAGTTGAATTTGATAAACATTCGTTTGCTGGCATGCAAAGTCCAAAATCTCCAATATATGCAAATGTGGAACCAATAAATCCATATTTATGAATGTCATTAAGTGCAAGACAGATATCATACATTTTATTCAATCTTTGTTCCCACGTTTTTGAATTAGCAGTTTGTCCAAGATATGAACGTAAATTACCATTTTCCATATATTGCAATACTAATGCATAATTATGAGTAATAGGATCTTGAGTAATTCCAAAACATTTTATTATACACATACAACCACTAACTTTATTAAAAAAGTTCAACTACCAATATAAATAATAAAAATTAGTAAAATAAGTGCAGCTTAATTTTAATTTAAATATCTTATTTTTCTTACATACCTCATTTAGAAAATCATCGCTTACATTTTCTGAATCATTTAAAATTTTTAAAGCTATTGTTAATGGTCCATTTCTTCTCCAATTATTATTTAATTGACTCCACTTTTTAATTTGTCCATCGATCCATGTGGCCGAATATACCTTTGCAAAACCTCCTTCGGCTATATATTTAATATTTGTAAATTTATTAAAAGGGATCCACTCTAATAATAAATCATATTTTTCAACTGCTATACGTTGATTATCTTGTATTAATTTATCAATAATCTTATTTCCGCTAGTCCACTTATTAAAATCCCTTTGGAATCGTTCAGGTTTACAGGATAAACAATCATTCAAATCTTCATTTATTCTAGAGCAATCTTTACATTTTCCAAATTCCATACGCTTTTTTTCATTAAGATTAATCTCGTTATCATAACAATCACAATAAGAACGAAGTTTGCGATCACAATTATTTACTCTATAATATCTTATATTATTTATATGAATTTTCTTATTATCTATATCATATTTTGTGTTCTCAAATTGTTGCATAATTTGTTTAAATATTCCTAAATTACCTTCTAATTTAAAATAAATATTTTCATAATCTTTTAAAATAGATTGTAATTCTTTTAATTCTTTTAATTCTTTTGTCTTTTTATTATATACTTTAGAATAAAAAACTTCATAATCTCGTAATTTAGGTTGTGATCTAGATATCAATTTTTCCAGTTCTTTCATCTCTTCATCATAACAATAATAACAATAATTATAATGATGCTTTTTACCACAGTTTTCACATAAAATATAATCACAATTCTTATATTTTTCTTGTCTATCATCTTCATCTAAATCATAATCTGAAATTTCAACTATTGGTCTTTTAATATCAATAATTTTATTTTCACTAATCCATTTATTAAAATTTTCAAGATATTGTTGAAATTCATAAATTGAACAACAATCATCATTATTTCCTATAGAACATACTTTACATTCACCATTTCCTTCTATATCATTATAACAGTAATTACAATAATAGTATTGCTTGTCAATTTCTTGATTACATCCTTCACATAAAATATTATCATAATCATTATATTTTTCTTTCCTTTCTTCCAAATTTAAATCATAATCTGATATTTGAAAAATTCCAACTTTTGATGTACCATATGTCATATTACCTTTTTTATTACTATCAGTTTCTTTAGAATAACAATGAAAACAATAAAGATATTGTTTATTAATTTCTTGATTACATTCTTCACATAAAATTCCATCATAATCTTTATATTTAACTTTTCTTTCTTCTAAATTTAAATTATAATCTAATGTATTAAAAATTCCAAAATTTGATCCATATTTCATTTGACCTTTTTTATTACAATCAGTTTCTTTAACATAACAAAATATACAATAAAAATCCTGTTTATCAATTTTTTGACTACATTTTTCACATAAAATACCATCACAATCTTCATATTTTAATTTTCTTTCTTTTAAATTTAAATTATAATCCGATATTTTAAAAATTCCAAAATTAAAATTTGTACAATCATAACAATAATAATTTAATTTATCAATTTCTCTATTACATTTTTCACATAAAATAATATCACAATCTTTATATTTTAATTTTCTTTCTTCTAAATTTAAATCATAATCTGATGATTTAAAAATTTTAATTTTACAACAACCAAAAGAAGCATTTGATTTAAAACAAAATTTACATATACCATAATTCATACGATTTTGTTCATTACAATCGGTTTCCTTATTATAACAATTATAACATATAAAATTGGATTTTTCAATTTCTTGATTACAATCTTCACATATGATACGATCATATTCTTTAAATTTCATTTTTCTTTCTTCTAAATTCAAATCATAATCTAATAATTTAAAAATTCCAAATTTTGGTTCAAATTTATCATCATTTTTATTAATAAGTTGGATATTCTCTTCATTTGAATTAAAAATACTTTCTTTTTTTGACATTATTATGTCTTTGTAAAATATGTAAATTGTTATTGATTTTTGTACGGTTGCTAAAAAAATTTTTTTCTAGTGTTGTACAATTTATATACGTAGCTCATTGTGTTTCAAATGTCAGAGTTGTACACACCCCAGCTAGGATGTAGTGCACGCTTAGAAACTATGTTGATCATTTGGATTGTGGTTGTACATAATTATATTTCCATATTTATAAATTCGATATTTTACGACTAAAGGATATCAGCCGATGAACCTTATTTCTTGCAAGATACTTTCCTACAAGTAGTGTTCCAAATCAACATGAGGATGTTTGTCATCACGTTTAAGCCAATTGCTTATTTTTTCGGCTAAAGATGGAAAAGTATAGAAGTTGTGTCAACTTCGAAAAAATATATAATTGGGTGCAGTGACTTACATAAAATGATAGATGATTGCAGTTAATCTAAAAGAAAAAAAACGTGAGTACTGTACTATTGAACCAAAAAAATATAAATGAATGGGTTGGCATAATAACAGAACATTTTGCCTAACCTGAAATATATGAAAGACGCCTTAAAAAAGACATAAAAGTTCGCAGTATCTTAACGACGTACAACTATTAGCTTTCCCTAGGTTTGCACCAAGTTACATTCACTAATTTCTGTTATTCATGCAGCAATAAATAGCTTTGCGCTCAAAAATTTGTAGTCATCTGGAAACTCCTGAAAACAGAGAAGGACGTTCACAGTAGCTGTCTCCATATACTAAAACAGCAAACTGTGGCCGCGATGTGCTTCCAGTTTTCTGAATCCAAGAGAAACCTCAATGAGAACAAATAATTGGCAAAAAGGTACTTAAGTTTCCTCCTCAACAGGAGATTTTAAAAGACTCTTGAAATGTTTATGTTCCTCCTCAACAGCAGGGGTTTTAAAATCCACCATCTCCCATCAAGTACATACTAATGCAGATTAATAGGAAGCACTTGGGTATTGCTTTTCGAACCTTCACAACATTTAATGATAAATAATAAGTACATTAATATTAATTATGAAAAGATTATGTGATATTAAGTTGAAAGGTCAAAGTCTTTCTACGGAAGTTAATGCAACTCAAAATTGAAGATTTCTTGTTCTTGTTGCAAAGTAAAGTCATAGTATTCAACTAAATAATATGAAAGAATGAAAGATTATTAAGAAAAATGATAAGCTAACTAATATTTTTTTGACAATTTACTACAAATAAATTCGTTACTAATTTTCTGATTAATTTTTGAGGTATGGCCAAAGAAGTAATATTTCGCTAGCAACTAAACTTTTCTTCAGGAAGAAGAGAAATAGTGAGAAATTCTAGTAGTCGAGAAGAAAAAGCACCACGGAGGGAGACATAAAGGAGATAATCTTATGGGGATCTACCAGATAATTGATATTTTAATGAAATAATAGCTTCTTAGTTAATTAAATGAACAAGAGTATTACTATGATAATTAATAATTTTATAAATCATCAACTTGTTTCTAAATGGCTTTGAGTTCGTTAGAATAAAATTAATGCCTGTAAACGAAAAAAAATCCGAAAAGATATTTTTTCAAACCATTAAATAATCAACCCTCTCATTTTATTCAACTTTTTCTTATACAGTATAGAAAATAGAATACAGATGATTTAATGTAATAAATTACATTTTCAGCGAATGTTTTAGGTCAATGAGTTATTTAGGGATTTATATATTTCTAAAATAAGACAATAACTGTGAAGTACGCGTCTGATTGTCTGAATAGTCACGTACTTCATGAAATTAATAAATCCGCGGTATACTGATATCAAACCATTAAAAAAGGATCTGTTTGAGAATGAGAGCTGATATACATTAATTCCATCAAATATTTATTAGTAACTTTACGCGTATGAATTGATGTTTCTATAACAATTTACCATATCATCTATATCATCAAATATTTTATTGATTTATGAGATATTCTTTCTGTACGGTATATTAAAACAAAAGGCTACCTGAAGAAAACCTGCTCAAGGAAATAATTGTCAAAGAATCCCATTCAAGTTAAGAAATGGGTAAATTTTTATAAGCATCATCTAAATAATATAGGAAAATTTGTACTGCATATCTTCAAACGTTCATAATTACTAAAACTATATTCATGAAAATAGTTTAACAAAATTAAGATTAGGGGTGATCAAGGTTCAGTGAACAAGCAGTTCGAACTGAGTCGCTCGGTTCATAGTCCTGATTCCTGAACGATTCATCTAAACTGAACCTATATGAACTGAAGTATAATGAACTGATAATTTAATAATCAAAAAAATATATTATAATACAATAGAAAGAATAAAGAAAATATTAAGTTTCATTAATTTACTTAATATCAAATTTTTTTACAAATTAAATAAAAAAGTAAAAATACTATTTTACATCATATTTTAATATATTTTTAATAAAATTTAACGTTATTACGACTCTTGAACTTTTTTTATTAACAAATCAAAAGTTCAATTCAAAAGTTCAATTTTGGTTCGGTTCTTATTTCAGTTCGATTCGAACTGTAATAATCGATATTCTGGGATAAATTAAAAAATTGAAGATCCACTTGTGTTATATGCTTTTGAATTATAGTAATTATAGTGTATTTGATAGCACGCTGAACATAGGAATTTATACTATATGAGTACTGAGATTCGCCGCGTTGCTGTCCTGAGTTCAGTGAGTTGGCGTGTTAACTTACTGGCATGTGAACGCCGCGGTCAAGAGATTGCGAAGTAGTGTAGTTTGACCTCAGGTTGACGATACCATATTAAATGGAATGTCTAGGAATAGAATAAAAGGAAGATTATGGTATGGTTAATGAGCTAATTACTATTGTAATTGTGTCCCGACATTCGAAAAAGGATGTTGAATTGCCTGATAATCAAGGAAATGACAGAGGCTAATACCATTTCTGGAACTATAATTTCGTAATAACGAAGAAAGTTGTATTAGCAAAAAGACTTATACAAGGTGTTTCGGAGAGACAGATTGATACATTGCGAAGCTGATTGTATAATAAACTTCTTATTATAAAATTAATAAAAGAAGGGAACGATTAAATAATAAACAAACAATATTTATCTTCTAAATTTTAAAGGAAAAGAAATTTAGTCAAATACTTTATTTATACAGGTTCGCAATGACTAAATTGGATTTGAGCCCGATTTTCATTTGATAAATTATTTAAAACATAAAGATGAAATTAGGCATCGAATATTGCTGCTTTAATATTCGTACAGAAGTGAGATACGCTGAACACTTACGATGTGCAAATAAATTAAAATATATAATAGCAAAGAAAATCATTCAAAATCAATAATGAGACAGCCTATATTATATAGAATTGGCTGAAGCATATAAAAATGTACAGGAGGTGTATGTGTAATGCGCAAGATGTTTCCATGCTATAAGTATCTTTGCAGTGAATGAGCAAATTAATGAATAATATCATTCAGCAATTGTACAACAATTTAAATATCATTCTGAGACAAAAGTTAATAATGAAATTATGAAGAGTATAATAAATAATAACTCATTCAAACAGGTCCATGATATAACAATCAAGACACTACTACTGTACATGATTTTTTATGCTTTAGAGTGAAGGACTAAATCAGGTGCAACTCAGGTGATAGACCGAAAAAATAGGAATAAAATACAGAACATGTAAGGTATTATTATATAATGCACTAGATTAGGAATAGCACATAAAAAAAAAATGAACTTTGGCGAGGTATCTTGTTCTTATTAAGCTTTTAATATTTCTTATTTAACTGTAAAAGTTTATTTTATAAGCGAATATTACAATACCAACAAGATTAATGAATATATAATGAGTTACAATTAATTACAAAACGAGAGGATAAAATATTTGAGAGACATTTTTAATATTTTATTTACTATATATTGATTTTTTTCAAATAAAATTTTTTTATTTTATTTTATTTTTATAATATAGACATGGACCGGAATTACAAGCAAATGCTAGAAAAACGAGACTAAACTAAACGGATGCAACCCCCCAAGGCCCTGGAGAGGAGTCGTCCCGCCTAATATTCAACCCTGAACCCTTAATACTATAGAAATAACGACAAAGAGGAAAAAGCGAACAAAAAAAAAGAAAAAAAAATTGTTTCTAGCATAATCATTGGCCCGTATTTTTCTTTCATCTACCGATGCTATACGTAAATACTGTCAGGTATAGAATGTTGCATTTTTTATAAGGTCCGTTGTTGTTGTAGAAGTGTTTTGTTAGTCGTGCGCCGGTAAAAAGAATTCAAAAAGAAACTAAATAAAAATCAACATCACATGACATATTACGTATTTAAAACGTACCAGAGAATTGCCCAATGACCTTTAGTTTACTACACTCTTTTCTTTGAATCATTAAAAAAAGTATGTCACAAGATAATGGTCAAGCAGTTATAGCAGGAGATAAGGCAAAACCTTTAGCAAATTATCCACATGCTAGAGTTGTTGGAGGTTTCATTTTCGTTTCTGGTATTTCTTCAAGAAATTTTGATAATACGTAAGAATAATAAATAAAAAAGAATTTTTTTTTTTTTATTATTACAAAATTATTTCTTAAAATCAATCTTTTTTAGGTATGAAGGGGTAATTAAATTTTTTTCATTCAAGATAATTTGAAAAATATGTAAATTAAATTATAAATTTCATAAAAAAAAATGTATGTATTTATATACATTAGGTAAAAGAACTCCCAGATGGTTCTTTTCAATTGGATATAAAAGAACAAACAAAAGCCGTAATTCAAAATATTAAATCTATACTAGAATTATCAGGAGCAACATTAAATAATTTGGTTGATTTAACAGTATTCTTAAAAGATATGAATGATTATAATGATTTCAATGAAGTTTATAATCAATTTTTTGATGCTAAAACTGGTCCAAGTAGAACCACTGTTGCTGTAAAAGATTTACCTTCTGTAAGTAATATTTAATACATTTTTTTTTTAAAAAAAAAAATTTTGGCAGTTTAAATTATATACTACTTTACTGTAGCCAAAGTTATTGATTGAAATTAAAGCAGTTGCTGTAATGCCTGCTTATAGGTAGGTAAATTGTCATATTAACGAGTTAAAACCTATCATCATTCTGCTACAATTAATCAGAATATTTAAAATAATAAAATTATAATGTAATTTATTTATAAATTCGAATTAATTAATTAATATTGGAATTACAATTAAAAATTGCATTATAAAGTACACAGTTATATTAGCATTTAATATTGTAACTATTTCAAATATTTAAAAATCTTATTCCTATAATTAAGATAACTTTTCTTCCAATCCATGTACGTCTTTAATTGGCATTCCACAAGTAAAATTTTCACAAATACGAACTGAAGGTGTATTATCCCCCGCTTCCAAAATACTTTTAATCACTTCACACCTTTCATTCAATACTTGTCCATCATCTTTAGCTTGCAATAAAAATTTGTTTGGTATGAATCTTTTTCTAATAGTTTCAATATATTGTTGAACAATTGCTTCTTCTTTTGGTCCAACAACAATAAACTATACGTATAGTAATAATTAATAATAATCCTTTTTTTTTAAAAGGAATATAATATATATTATAAATATTATTTACACTTAACATACCTGTTTGATACCTTTCAAATGTAACATTAAACTTGCTACCATAGCTGGCATAGCATACGGGGCTTTATCCAATGTTCCAATAAAATATTTTAAAGTTTGTTCAGCTTTAGCATTGTAATCCGCATTATTAATTATATGTCCAAGTCGAATCAAATTACTAATTGAAACCGAATTACTATAAAAGAATAAAAGTGTGAGATATACAATTCATATAAAAATATCATTAAGGCAAGTTACTTACGAGGAAGGTTCAGCTCCATCATGATCTAAATAATGTATGCTTAAAGTTAATATAATAAACTTGTACAAGTAATGTAATTTAAAAAGAACATACTTACCATCCTTCAATCTAACCAAGATATTCTTGGTATCCTCTCCTACATTAAAAAATCCACCTCCGCCTTGTTCATCATAAAACAACTTAATTTGCTGGTCCTGTAAATCAATTGCCCAAGCAAGATAAGTCTCGTTAAAAGTTGATTGATAAAGATCAAGTAGACCTAAAAATAAAATTCAATTAAATGAAACGAATTTAAACTTAAGTTGTTTTTATTGTTTATGCAAACATTACCTTCGATTAAATTACTGTTTAAAATTTAAAAATAAATAAATAAATTAATATGAAATAATAAATAAATGAATAACATATAATTAATTGACTAAAAGATTCTTACCTATAATCGTCAACAAACCCATCGATTTCACCGGGTTCTTCTCTAAAGCTTCTCAATAACTTCTTTTTATCGGGATCATATAATCTATCTTTAATAAACTTGGCAGCTCCCTCAGCTAATTCGAGATATTTTTCATCACGTAACGCGTCGTATGCCTGTGCAAGAGCCGATATCATCAAACCTACAGAATTATCAAATATATATAAAATAGATCAAAATAATTTCATTAAATTAAAAGGTATTGTTTGTGCGTATTACCATTCCAAGTTGTGAGAATCTTATCATCTCGATGTGGTTTAGGTCTTTTCTCAAATCGATATTTTGCAAGCTTTTCTTTGGATTCAGCTAGAATAGCTTTTGCTTCATCAAGAGAAATTTGAAATTTTTCTGCTGTTTCTTCGGGAGTATGACGTTCAATTAATACATTCTATTATAGTGGAAAAATTTAGATTAAAAGTATACCAGAAACCTCAATTGTCAAAATACACGAAAAAATATACATACCTTATTCTTTAGTTCACCTTGAATATCTTTTCTGGGGTCAACATTTCCATTAGGTTCAACACCAAAATGATATGAAAATATTTCCGAATTCTTGTCACCCAAAATTTCTTTAATTTCTGATGCTTCCCATACAGCAAAAGCACCCTCTATTTATATTTCATCAAGAGATATTAATTTAATTCCTTCTTCAATATTACCTTATAGAATTCTAGAACGAAACAAAACCTCACCCAATTTATGCTTGGCCTCATCATTAGAGTAAGAATCTGCATCTTCGGCTGAATAAAATCCTGCTCCTTCATGATCTCTCAAATCTCGTTCAACGTATTTAATAATATCACGTGCAACCTTAAATAATCATTAATAATTAGTAAAAATTTAGTCATTTAAGTACAATGACTATTTCCACCTACCTCGGCATAATATTCATCTTTAGTTATCAAATAAACTTCAGTATAACTCTTAAGCAATTGAGCTTGATCGTAAAGCTATTTAATAAATAAATTCTTCAGCATTAAAATTATAATTTAAACAAAACACGCTATAATGTTTACCATTTTTTCGAAATGAGGAATGTGCCAATATTTATCAGTGGAATATCTAAAGAGAAAGAAAATTCAGATTCGAAACATAAAAAAAAAAAATACAATATAATTTTACATAATAAAATAATACATACCGATGAAATCCATTTCCAATGTGATCTAAATAAAAATAGAGATTAAGTATATAAATTTTTTTGTTTATTATATATTCATATTAATTTGTACATACCATGAATCCCTCCCATGGCAATTTTCTAATTAATTATAAAAATGTGTAATTAAAATTTTTTACCCTAATTTTTTTTTTTAATAAGAAAAAAAAAAAAAAGTTTAAATACCTTTAAAGTAAATTTGACCATATTCAGATCTTTTTCTGCAGCTTCCCTTCGACTTTCTACAACATTTTGTAACTTTTTTAAAAATTGTGCTTCATTATCACAATCTTTGAAATCAATCCCTAATGTTTGTCCACGTCCTTTAATTTCTTGGATTGACATTATAGCAAATCTTTCTTCGGCTTTATCAAGATCTGCCAACGTATAATAATAATGACGAAGTAAAAAGTGAAATTGTACTGGAGTCGGGAACTTCGGTTCACCTTTATAAATTTAATTATTTTGTTAAAATAATATAATGATAATAATTTAATCATAAATTCGACACGTACTTTTTCCATCAAAACCACCTTCATCATCATCAAATGATCGAACGAAATAATCATGTAATTTATGTGCAACTTTGATATTTAACGGTTGAGATATTTGTTCCGTAATTTTTTTCTAATAAAAGAAATTATATATATAAATTTTTTTAAGGAAAACTTACAAATAAATTTATCTCTTACATGGGAATATTCGCGTAAAGTTTTAATAGCATCTTCACCAGATTTTTTCAATTCTTCACCTTTTTCTTTCCATCTATATCCAAGAGAATATTGTCATTTAAATATGATTGTTTGATATGCGAGAAAACAATATACTTACAATGAAGACATTTTCTTAAGGACAGTCGTGAATCCAGGTCTGAATTATATATGTATTACATGTTTAGCACGTTAATTTTTTTTTTTTCATTTATAAAAATTAATGCAACACGTAAATTCGTAAATTGCAATAATTCACACTCACCTCCCATATTGATCTTCTGGAGGGAAATAAGTTCCACCAAGTACAGCTATATAAAGGAACACATTAGATATTATAATTTAAACTACATTCTTCGAACTTAATTAATACATACGATACAATTCGGGCTGATTAAATAAATATCAAAGGTTTATTATCGTTAGTTATTATAATTGCATTAACAGCATAAATAGATAATATATAATTTTGTTACACTCACGGTTAAAAAAACGGACATTGGCCAACCACCACTGCCAGACATCAATTGAACAAAAATCTTTAACCAATAAATATGTTACTATTATCATCACATTTTCAATTGAAATACTTTTTTTTTAAAAAAAAAAAAAATAGAAATTTACCATATACATGCGATCCACATCAGGCTGAACCTCCCTGATAAATGTGATAATTAAAATTGTCAATAGAAATAGAAATACATAACATGGACGTGTCACACACGCACTTATACAAACGATCATAAAAACATTATATTAAGAATATTAATACCTGTCGACTTTAAATAATTAATTTGAAAATTTTAAATAATTATTAAAACTATATATAAAATCGAAGGATTGAAGTGAAATTTATTTCTCACGTACCTTTGACATTTACAAAATTCTCGTTCATAATATTTGCTATTTTCTCATCCTCGAATGATTCATGAGCCTATAAAAAAATTAATTAAAAAAAATCGAATCACGAGAATGAACTATTACAATTTTTCCAATCTCAAGAAATCGAAACCTTAAAATTATATATATACCATCACATGACACCAACTTAATTGATCCAAAAATAAATTTTTTTTTTTAATAATCAATTCTTAAATCAAAATTTATTAAATAAAAATATATATCAAAAATACATACTGGCAAGTACTATAACCCACACTCAAAAAAATCATTTTATTTTCCTCTCTAGCTTTTTTAAAGGCTTCTTCGCCCCATGGATACCAATCGACTTTAACAACATATGGATTATAAAATAATATATATTTTCATAATCTTTTCGATGAAAAAAAAATTTTAATTACAAAATAATTTTTACCAGGATTATCAGCATGTTGCTAAAAAGAAAAAAATACAACTTTTTTTATTCCTTATCCAAACAAAAATTTTGAGGTCTTAATTTTCTTTTATTATTCATACCAACAAATAAGGACTTTTTTCGTGTGCCAGCCTATTCAAATTCTTACTAGTAGTAGCCATATTTCTTATCGTCAATAATAAAGTAGTAGTTGTACCAAGTTTATTATTATTATTAAAAAACCTAAAATGGGATGTTGGGTTATAATTATACAAATAATTTGGTTTGCTAAATTTGTTAATCAAACAACTATTATTACGCCGCAAAGAAATATGCAATAATCCAAAAGAGAATCGAGAAAAATTCATTCAGAAAAATCAGAAAAATTTGATTTCCGGGGAAAAAAAAATCAGCATAAAATATTTGATTTTCATGATGATGATGCAAATATTATGATATTTACATAAATATTACATAATAATTATGTAAAACGTAGTTTAGATAGTAAGATTATCAAATAAAATTTTAATCAATTTTGGAATAGTATAATTATGAAAAATATATAAATGACACATCAATCTTTTTAAACAATCAAAACCTATCTTGAACCTTAATAGAATTGAACTTATACTAAGAAAGTTACTTTATTTGATCTTTTACATAAATAATGAATGATCAAGAAAATAAAAACTACGAAAATAATACGTACTCAAGAGAAGCTAAAAAAAAAGCTTTAACACATCTCGAAAATTTTGTACGCGAAGATGATTCTGCAAAATATGTTATTGATCCAAAAAATGTTGTTTGTAGAAAGAATGATAATGCTGATAAAGTTAGTTGTTTAAAATTAAATGAATTAGATGAAAAAGAAATTTTTTCTCAAATGCAAAAATTAGGTTTTTATTGTGCTTTAACCCAAGATCCAAATAATATTGGATTGGAATGTAATAAAGTACAATAAAGTACAATAAAGTACAACTGATAAATTAAGTTATATATAAGTTAATAGTTTTTTATTATTCCTAATGATTAGAATTTCTAATAATTAGAATAGAAAGAATTTTCTTTTTCCTTAGGTTTATTATTTTCTCTTTTTTTTTTATTATTTTTTTACTTTTTTTAACTTTCTTTTCATTTTCTTTATCTTTCATACCTTTTTATACGGTATACGGTATATTCTTTACCTAACTATTATATACGGGAGCTCACTTAATGATCGACAAGACAATGTCTAGTTTTAAAACTATTATTTATTATAGGAAAAAATATATATAAAGTATTCGTATTTAGGAATTTCTCTTCACTGATTACCGCGATAAAAAAGCTCAAAAAAATGTATTTTGAAGAAAAAACTATTATTGACACTACTTTTCATCAAATTATCACAACTGAACATAAAAGAATTTTATGTGATGCCCTTTTGAAACAATGTAATAAAATATTAAAAGAAATTCCACCAAATAATAATTATCAATATTGGGATGTTTATACAGGTATAAATAATATTTAAATATTTTTAAATATTTTAAAAATTATTTGAAAATTCCCCCTATAAATATTACATTAATTTCATATGATAGGAACTGCTGGATTATCACTCCTTTTTTTGAAACTTCATGAACGAGACCCAGGTTTGAATGATAATAACTCGTATTATTATATTGTAAAATTTTGCTATCGCGTAAAGAACGAACGTACTGTACGTCGAAATATTTTTTTTTTCTTTTTCCAGGATTGATGTTTGGGGCCAAAAGTACTCTAACAATTGCGGATGAATACATAGATAAGGCTCTTACAACTTATATGGGACAAAATAAGTTAACTTTTGATGGTCTGCCTAATGCAATCGAACATGAATGCAGTTTCCTCTGTACTGTTGTTGGATTGTACGCTGTAGCGGCTCAAGGTTAGATTGACGTCACACTGTTGGTTATCTTTCCCATGCTGCGCCTCTAACTTTACATTTTTATGTAGTCAAACATCACACCGGTGACCAAGAATCTTCTAAAAGATATCTCGACTTGATACAATCTCGTTACTTAAAGGTTGGTTTCTCATCTCTAAAATTTGATTTATTTATGTTTAGATTTTCAGATTTAATTAATCATTATTAACCTTACTAAGGCGGCACTTTCTCCAAAAACTCCGAATGAACTATTTTATGGACGCGCTGGATATTTGTATTCCTTACGTTATATATCTGGTTTAATCAATTTGATGGAAGAAGATAAAGAAAATCCAGTATCACAAATATCACAAATCATATCTAGTGTGATTGAATGTATTATTGAAGATGGGAAAAGAACGGCAGTGAGCCATCAAGCAACAAGTTATACTCCTTTGCTTTGGATATGGTTAGATTATCCTTATGTTGGAGCATCTCATGGTTTCGCTGGAATATTAACTATGTTATTACAATTTCCAAAACAATGTCAAGAATACATGAGTTTAATTAAAAATACAACTGATTATATTTTGTTCAAGTGTCGTCAAGTAAATGGAAATTGGCCTAGTATTTTATCCGAAACTTCCAATGATTTTATCCAATTCTGCCATGGAGCTCCTGGAATTTGTTTCTTGGCTTGTAAAGCATATGAAGTATTTGAAGATGAAGAGTAAGTCTTTTTGAAAAATTATGATCGTTAAAAAATCAAATTTTTCTTTTTTCCTAGAAAGTCGAGAAACATGAATGAAAAATTTTACATTATATTATTATAGATATTTGAACCTTGCTAAAGAAATTGCAGATTACACATATTTACATGGAAGAACACGAAAAGGAGTAGGATTGTGTCATGGAATTTCCGGAAATGCGTACCCATTCCTATCAGTTTATCAACTTACCAAAGATCAAAAATATTTACAATATGCCTTTGAATATGCCGAAATTTGTATTAATTGGGAAATGAAAACTAATCGAGAAGAATTTGTTGTTCCTGATAGACCTTGGTCCATTTTTGAAGGACTCGGAGGATCAGCTTGGTAAAAAAAAGACTCTTTCGACACGTATATTTACTTATAAAAAAAGAATTGATAATTAAATTAATAATTATATTTTTAATTTCTACAATAGGCTTATTGCTGACTTATTATACTGGGATCGGGAGGTTTTCAAGGGATTTTCAGGATTAACAGATGTTTGATAAGCTGTAGCTGCGGATCTTTTTTCTAACACAATTTTGACGTAAAATTTTCGAACATATGTAATAATGTAATACAAACAATAACCTCACAGATCATTTACAGATTAGATCATTCTAAAAATTTCTAGTAAATTCTTATAAATAAAATTTTTCCCACGGATTTTGTTTAAATAAAACTAAAGATCGGATCCCAAATAAATTTTTTCTTTAGAAAATTTTCTCTTTCGCAAGCATGATGATATTTGATGACTTTTTCGATATCACATCACTTCCATTATTATCTGGAGGAACAACATGCTCTTCCTCTTATAATTCACTTCCGTTAAATATTTCAAGCACTTCCACACATTATATAGTTCGTACAGAATTGCCTGGTATTCCACAAAACCAAATATCAGTTGATATAAATGAAGATGGAATACTCGACATTCGGGCTGAACGTCATTCAAAAGAAGACAAAGAGAAAACGAAAACTAAGGATGAAGAAGATGAAATAGTTAAAGAAAACTGGGCTCTTAAGGGTAAATTATACCGCAGTATAAAATTTCCTAAAGAACATGTTGATGTTGATGGAGTCAAAGCTGAACTAAATAATGGAGAATTAATTATTAAAGTACCTAAAAAGAAGACACAAGATGCAAAAGATCCTAAGAGGAGAAATGTTAAAATTATTAAGGGAAAATTGTAAACATCAGTAAATTTGTGACAAATTTGGAATTTTTTGGATCATGGAGGGTTTATTGATTTTTTTTCATCTAATTAGTTTAAATTCTATTTCCTTCCATACTTATAAGTCCAAGAAGTTCTATTTTGTTATCAAGATTTTAATTACTATATCAATTAGCTTGCTTTCAATATAATATTAGAAATAATTTTTTTTATCAATATTTTTGCAAAGATCTTAATAAATAAAAAATTGCTTTAATTATTGCTTTTTTCAAAAAATAATTTATTATTTGTTGAATTTTACATACATGTTACTGCTAATTTTTGAATTATTTTTATTATTCTAATCCATCAAAAGCATCCATGGTTTTAGTAATCATTATTATCATATCAAATAAAGAATTAACTGATACTCTAAGCATTTTAACACTTGCACAATCAAATGAGCTAAAAATATACAAATATAAAATTATTATATATAGAGAAATAATATGATATCAAAGATTAATACATACACAATTAATTTATCATCATCAGTTGTTATAATACGTTTAACTTGATCACCTTTAAGCTCTTTATCAACATTAAGTGCACGTTCTGCTATATTTGCAAGTCTTGAAGAAGGAAAAGGTATCGTTAAAGTACTAATTTTTTTAAAAAAATTTCATCCGAAAATTTGATTAGTATGCAATGATTATTATTCTTTAGCTATTTTACGCTAGATAGTTTTTTTTCTAAAAAAAAAAAAAAATTCTAAATTTTAAATGATTATAATATAATAACTAAGATAATTATTAGAATACGAACAGAGAGTGCCCAAGTGTTGAAGTCGACATAACTAAAAAATTTTTCTAGTGAGATCAGATTTATGACTCACGTACTATTTATTATGTGTGGATCATGTTACAGTGCATTGTAGCACAGGTTGTTATTTAACTAATTATCGATTTTTTTTTTTTTTGATAAAAAAAATTTTTTCTTCTTCCACACTTTTCTATAAAGTTAGACATGACAACATCAGAACAACTTAATTCTCAGTCATTCCCCACAACATCACAGTCATATTTATCATCGTTAAATTCTCCTATAGATGGATTATTTTTAATTGATGATTTTATTTCAGAACAAGAAGAATTTGAACTTATTAATTCTATTGATTTATGTGAATGGTCTGGAAATGGGATACCGTAAATATGATTTTAATTACATTTAATATTATACATATATATTAAAAAATTATTTTTTTTTTAATTTTATATTTTAATTTATAGACCAAATCCGGAGATGAGAAGAAGAACACAACATTACGGTTATGAGTTTAGTTATAGATATAGGTAAAATATTAAAAAATATATATAATATATATATATATATTTGTTAAAATACATTTTAATTAAAAATAATTTTTTTTAAATAATAGGAAAGTAGTTCAAAATTTAGGAGTATTACCAAATTTTTTAGATTTTTTAATTAAAAGATTTATTGAAAAAAAATTCATTCAATCTACTGAACAGGAGTATCCAAATATGTGTATAATAAATGAATATCAAGCTGGTCAAGGTAATTAAAAAAAAAAAAAAATTTAAGTAAATCATAATAATAATATTATCAAATTTTCTAAGAATATTTTATATATTATTATAGGAATAATGCCACATACAGATTCACCAGAAATATTCGGACCGGTAATATTAAGTCTTTCAATACTTACATCATGTTTAATAACATTTACACATATACAAGATTCATCAAATCAATCAATAATATTATTAAGTAAGAAACATTTAATAATTTCTTTAATATTTAAAATAATTAAAATAATTAATATTAATAATATTAATATATTTATTTATATATACAGAACCTAGATCTTTATTGGTTATGACAAAATCAAGTAGATTTGATTATAAACATTCAATATCGAAAGATGCTATAGAATATTATAATGGAGAAGAGATTAAAAGAGATCGTAGAGTTAGTTTAACTTTTAGAACTATCGTGAATTTTAATGAGAATAATGAGAACATGGAAAAAGGTGGTTGCAAATTTAATAATAATAGTGTACATTATAAATAAATAATGTACATTTTATTTAATTTTGCGGGGAAGGAAATAATGAAATGATCATGTGATTAATATCTATCACAAGACTTATAAACACTGAGTGCATGACCCTATCATCATGTCTTATCATGTCTTGCACGTCATTTGTCTATGAGTCATTTACTAAGATGACATGTGATCGTGGAAAAAAGTTTGAAATATGCGTGATTTTCAATAAGATTTTAGGTTTATAAAATCATCTACTCCGGTATTTACTTAAAATGCCAAGACTTCTCGTATAAGAAACCACAATACGGAGTTTATTTTCATGTGTTTTTTCCTTAATTCCTAATAAAATAAAGTTTGTACATGACTTATCGTACTTTTACACTAAACCAAATATCACTATAGTATAAAGGTTTTACAAAAATCAAGAAAATTTAATCTAAAGCTTCACTAGCGCAAAATCATTCATAGGAAATAAAAAGTTTGCGACTCTGTGAGCTTATATGACATTTGTGAAATAAAGAAATGTCAAATCAATTGTTTACTGGGGTAGTGATTAAATTGAGATGACATTGAAAAATTATGGGACAATATAACTTGTTAGTTGTCAAAAGTCGTACAACAGATTTATTTATTACGGAAAAATAATTCCTTCAGGTTATGGTAAAATATTCCAACCGGTTCAACCGTGGATATTTGTTGAAATGCAAGGGACCTTTACACTGCATCATTTTCGATTATTAATCATAAAAACAATGATCTGAACGTGACGACGGACGTGAAAAATTTCTCATGAATCATATTCCTTTGAAAATTTCAGAAGTTTTTGTTCATCATTTGCTAAAAAAATATAATCGATAATTAAATTAACTAGGCGAAAAAAAGCTCGGATTTATTTTTTTTTTGGTTGCATAAAACGTTAAAAACTTGCTAAATATTGCATTATTATTTAAAAAAAGATACAATGAAATTTATTTATTGCATGCGATTTAGTCAATTAGATTTACAGAAGGTTGGGTAACGTGGCTCAATTGATTCAAAAAATTTAATAAATACCGAATCTCAATTTGATCAATGTCCTTTTGATTTCTCCCTTTTATTCGAAAAATTAATTATAACGCTCCTACCGTTCCATGCACTTCCTTTTTTTTTGAAGGATAAATTTGACAATTTTTCTTTTTTTTGTTTATTCACTTTCTTTGAATATCTATTTTGAAAAAATCAAACATACTTAAAACCATGTCCTCTCAAGGTATTTGGCCGCTTACAAGTTCAGTTGATTGGTGCGAAGATAATTATGCACATTCATATTACATTGCTGAGTAAGTTGATAGCTCAAACTTTTTTTAAATCAATGTTTCATTTTTCTCATTTATTTTATTCTTTTTATTTTTATTAGATTCTGGAATACAATATCCAGTATTGCAATGATAATATTTGGAGAAGTTGGTGCAAGGATAAATTCATGCAATTCATTTAGATTTCGATTAGCTTTTCGTTTAATATCTGTCGTTGGTCTAGGGAGTTTGCTATTCCATGGTACACTTACAAGTCAAATGCAAGCCCTCGATGAGGTAATTTTATTTGTGTATTAAATAAATATATGTATATATACACGTAACTATGTATTATAACTAATTGCTTAAATAATTCCGTGATCTATTGAAATTTCAATTTTTATTTCGATTAAAGGTTCCAATGGTATGGTCAGCATTAACACTTCTTTACTCATTGATAGAATCAATTTTTGGTAAAAAAGGAAAATGGTTACCAATTCTATTAGCATTACATGCAGTACTCTGTACAGCATCAATAACGATAACAACAGGAGCTTTGCAATTTGCATTTTTTCATATCTCATTTGGTAGTTTAGAAATTATTAGTTTAATATTGATGTTTCAAATATATTCTAAAAAGAAAAATTCTCATCCTCCAATTAAATATTTATTTGAAAAAGGTTTATTGATTTTTCTTGGTGCTGTAACAGCTTGGTTAATCGATTTACATTTATGTGATTATGTTAATGGTGGAGAAAAAAGTATACTTCCATATAATCCTCAATTACATGCTATGTGGCATATATTAGCAAGTGTTGGTTTATATTTATTGGTCGTATTAATTTTATACAATTGGCACTATGAGAATGGTCGAAAATGTAAAATTGAATGGCGGTATGGTGGTTTGGTTCCTGTTTGCAGAACATTGGATGTTGAAAATACGAATAAGACAATGACTAAAGCAGCGAAGTAATCATTGAGAAAGAAAAGTGGCAATCGACATTATAAGAAGCATAGGGATAATATATTTTTCTTTAATTCATAATACAACTAATACAACGTTTAAGTAATAGTGCGTGCGTAGCCTTACAATATTGTTATTATTATTATTATTAATTATATTATTATTATTATTATAAATTAATGGTTTCTCTGTATTTGATTTAACTTCTAATGTGAAAATAAAAAATATATTACTGAATTTCTATTCCTATTCTCAAATGAATTCACACAATTAAGACGCGACGCATAATAATTAATCCATTTATTCAGGGCATATTTCTCTCTCGATAATGGTTGATTTAAATTAATCCAATTTATGACTAACTGTACTTTCTCAAAGTAGTTTCGAACATAGAATTCGACTATTATTATTGCTGTCATCATTTCAAAATACCGGGCAATGCTAAGTCGAGAAGATTTCATGAATGATTCTGACGCAGCATCTTTTTAATATCATATAAGAAACAGTTGTTATAGCCAAGATCCTTAATTTTTCTGTCAGAACTCGGTGATTCTATCATTATTTTGAAAATGGAAAAGCAATAAGAGTTATAAACACATATACTCTGTTTTATTTGTTAATAATAAACCTAACGGTCACGGCACTTTTCTTTCCCAGAAACCTGAATGTTCAACAATTACAGCATAGCACAGCTTCTGTCGGGAGTTCATGAGGAGGAGTAAAGCTATTTGCGACTAGTTTTACGAAGAAACAATGCGTATATCCTCTCAAGGCTGTCATTTTATGCCGCAATCGAAGTTTAGAATATATAATCAACCATGAATACCTTTGCACAAAAAAAGGTTCTCCAAGTTTTTGCAGTAAAAGCTTCAACGGTGATGATTTGACCAAATAATAGCTTACGAGAATAAGTAAAACGAGATGACTTGTAAGTTAACCTATTGATTATCTTAAAAGTTTTTGTTGCGAATCCGTGATACGCATGTCGCATAAATACGATCCCCACAAAAGATATTAATTTCCGAATTTTGTTACGTTACGTTACAATTGATTATTAAATGACTGACTATTACAATGACACAATAACAGTTATTCAAAAATTAAGAGGGCCCTCTCAATGACCAATTCTGTAAAAAAAATTTATTGTCAAAAAAATCATCTTAAAAAAAAAATAAAATAAAATAATAATATGCTAAAATATCTGAAAGATTTATTTCATAGTCTCTTAATTTTATTAATCATAATAATACATTATTATGGTACTAAAAAACCGTTCTATTTTTCGGGGCCATCACCACCGATTAATATGTCAACATATAACTTTTTTTGTTTTCTTCTACCAATAACAATTTTTTCTATATTCTCATTTTCACCACCTAATTCAATTTTTCGTAAATCGATATTAATATTATCAAATTTATCACTATTTTCATTTCCTTTAATATTTTCAAATAGATATGCTGCCACTTTTCAGATTCCAATTGCGTTATTTTCGTTCATTTATAGTTGTAAAATGCTTATTTGGTTGAAGAAATCTTTAAATGATCCAAGTTATATAAAACCATTCGTATGGTCATTATTTTATTGGAGAGCGAAAGAAGGAAATATTCCAATTATGAGACAAGATGATCTTTTGAAACAAGGAATTACAAAAGATCGTCTTGAATCATACATTAATCGTCATTATATAATATATCTTTGTGTTTGGATACTTTATATGATTTGTGCGCAATTCTCAGAATTATTTGTTCCTGATATTCCAAAAACTTCTTTTCCTATCAGAGTGATAGAGTATTTCTTTTATGATGGACCTCCATTCACCTCTTTATTTAACCTATTTTATTGTTATATTTACGCTGGCGCATTATTTTTTTCAATAAATTACCTTTATGAAGTAATAATCCTTTCATCTGCTCACTTATTGAAGTACATTTATTCAACACCCAATTCTTTTTTACATAGAACATTAACTAATGATCAATTGAATTCTTTAAAATTATGGTTAATTTCTTTACTTTTTTATTCAAAACCAATTTTTAATCAACCTTATCTTTCTGAAAATCCAAGAGAGTTATGGAGTATTAGATGGCATCAAATGTTTCATGAAATTTTTGTTGAATTAGGTTATAAACCTGCTTGTTATCTTTTTTCTTCTTTTCCCGCTAAATTACAAAAAATATTTGGTACATTGGCTTCTTTTGCCATTAGTGGTATATTACATGAATATATTTTATATTCTTCAAGTAGATATCTTACTTTAGAACAATTTACCTACTTTTTGTTCAATGCTATAGTTATGATGATTTGGGAATCTTTTTCGAAATTTAGATTAGACCAAGGTCAAAAATTTTTATGGAAGAGAATTAGAGATAGTCTATTTATGACAGTTTTTGTTCTTTTTACTCTTCCTTGGTTCATTGAACCTTATATAAAATGTGAACATTATCATTCTTTGATGCATTTTATCTGTAGAAAAATTTAAAAAATTTTATATTTCATTAAATAATTTACAATTAAAATAAATTGACAGTCTAGAGTTGCTTAATCTACTAAATATTATATATTAATAGTTTCTTTACGCTAATCTATACTTTTTTTGCTTCGTCAACCCTTCCTCAATTCTTCTTCACACTCTTTCACACTCTTCCATAGTTCTTCTACAACTCTTCCGCAATTCTTCTTTAACTCTTTCATAACTCAATTTTTTCGGGGTTCCCTCCTTTTTATATAGTTATTATTACTATAAAAATTAATCTTTTGTCAAATTTATCCCTCTTGTCCAGTTACATTATTCTCCTCTTCTCGAACTACCGATGATGACGTTGAAAATCCAGATCCATCTGCAATCTTCAACATTTGTCTTAGTCCTTGATTTTCTGTAATTAAACTGTTTACTAAAATATCGGTTTCGGTATCAGACTGCGCATTATACGCTTCTCTAACTAAATTTCCTAGATTTGAAAGATGTGACTGTAATAACGCATTCTCGGACAATACTTGTGCCGTCGCTGCCTTTAAAACAAATAAATAAAAATAAAATACGTATTAATTTTTATAATTTTAAATAAATCATCTAATTTCTTTCTTTTTAATTACCCGTTGTTCTTCCAATAATATTTCATAATTTCGTTGCATTTCCAATTTACTTTGTTGTATTTCATACTTTTTATTATAAAAATAAAATCAATTAAAAGAATATTTCAAAATAAAAAAAAAATACCAAAATATCAATAGGTATAACATATTTACAGCCTGATATCTGAATTTCATCATAATAGTTTTTAATGATTGTTCATATTCTTTGACAATCGCTGTTAATGCTGCATTTTCTTCATTTAATGTTTGATTTTGATAAATTAGCTGAGAATTTTGTCTTTCAATATCTGTTCCAGTATCAAATGGTGGACCTATTAATTATAATTAAGAAAACCATGTTAAAATAAATCTAAGGAAAAAATAAAATAAAATAAATAAAAATAAATTTATCAACAAAACCTCGATAATTTTGCCTATATAAAGGACCACCACATTCCTCAACTCTACCCTAAAAACAAAAATTATATTATTACATTAATCAATATAAAAATTAAAATTTTATGACATACCTTTAATTCATTGATTTGCTTTTTATATAATTTAGTTTGTTCCCTGTTAATTGCAAGTTGATTACAAAGTTCTTGAGCAATGTTCCTTAATCTAGAATTTTCTTCATTACTTGTCAAATCTGGTGTCATTCTATAATACCTAATATATAGAAAATAAAATATAAATGCAAAACAGGAAGGTAAAAGCCTATTCAAGAAAAGTGTCGTAAAATGCTTTGCGACGGGATAAGGAAAAAAGGAGTAAAAAAAAGCAGTACAAACGAATGTGATACAAGAGTAAAGTTTTTTCATGATTTACGCTGCAAAGAGAAAAAAAGAATTGAAACACGTGATTTCACGTGAATCTCTAAACTTTTGAAATGTAAAGTTTAGAGGAAAAGAAAGTGTATATATATTAATATATGAGCTAATATAAATATGTTTAAAGTATGGAACTTTATCATAATACTAAAATTGGAAACTAAATCGATTGATGAAATAATGAAATAATATCTATTATCTAGAATAGTCTGAATGGTCTGCGTCCTTGGCACTAATTGCCTAGTAATCAGTTGATCAGCTGTGGAATTCTAAACAGAAACAACTAGATTCAAAAATAATTTTGGTCATACATACACGTTTCAAATTAATAATCAAAAATAATATAAATACCATGCTAGGGTTTTGTTTTTTTGCTTTATATTTCACACTTTCTTTTTTCTACTAAATTTGCTATATTTTAAATCTTGTGAAAAAAAGCGAGCTTTTTTTTTTTAGCAATAATTTATAAATTATGGATACACGACCTCTACCTCCAGGATGGGTTTCTCAGGTAAAAATAAAATAAAATTTGTCATCTACATTTTATACTATTTACAAGTCATTAAAAAAAAAATTTTTTTTTGCAGTGGGAGCCGAGTGTTGGAAGATACTTCTTTGTTGGTAAGTATAACTGAAATAAAGTGATAATTTATTATATTATTTATTATTGTTATCTAATTTCTTGTATCTTTAGATACAACAAAAAATCCTCCCGTAAGTTCTTGGGATGACCCAAGAGATGCACCACCTCCATACTCTGCATCAGAAGAATCAATGCCATCAATGCCCATAGCAATGCCTACACCAAATCCACAAAGTTATCCAGCATCCTCTACATATCCTCAATATCCACAAGATCCACAATATCCACATTCAGACTCAAAAAGTTCTACTTCATATACTGGTTATCCTGGTGGTCAACCTCAACCAGATTCATATAACCCATATAATAAATATGATAGTACTTCTACTTCATCAACAACAGCTACTGCACCAAAAAAAAGTGGATTCCTAAGTAAATTAGGATTAAATAGTGGTAAACCCGGTAAACCCGATAAGTCCAGTAAACCCAACAAACCCAACAAACCCAACAAATACACTCCACCTGCTGCCAGCTACGTACCCCCTGCTTTGGGAACTGCTGCTGCTCTTGGAGCTTTATCCCATCATAAACATGGAAAGAAACATGGGTTGGGCTTAGGAGGTGGTATGGGATTAGGGTTAGGTGGCGCTGTAAGTATTCGAAATTTTTCTCTTTTTCTTAATAAAAAAGTTTATTTAATAATTAATTATAATTTTTTTTTTAATAGGCCGCTGGTTTATTGGTTGGTAATGCTTTATTTGGAGGACACAAAGGATTCGGATTTGGAGGTTGTGATAACGGTTGGGGAGGTGGTGATTGGGGAGGTTGTGGTTGGTAAAATAATATACTGGTTTTATTCGATTCCAATCATTATTTCATTTCATTATCCCCATTCATAAATATAATTAATCATATTTTATGCATATTTATGTAATATAAAAAAACCTTTTTATTTGTTTTATAATGAATATTTATAAAAATAAAATATTTAAACTGTTTTATGATACAATTAACGTAAAGTAAGTTATATAGTTTCAAATTCACTTTATTAAATATTAAATTATTCTTTTACGCCAAAACTTTCTAATTCCTTTAGAGTATTTTCAATATCCAATATCAATTTATCATCACTAGATTGTAATTCTTCATCATCTCTTGTGTTATTTATAACATTGTTGGAATTGTTTGTAGTGTTGTATAATAAATCACCTGCTGCTAAATTATCTAATTCTTCAATTAATGATTCATTTTTAAATTTTATTTGTTTAAAAGACTTTTTTGAAGACGATGTTGATTTTAATGAAGTTGGTTTCAAATTTGTGTACGGAGCTGGTTTGGAATGTTGGTGTCTCGTATAATATTTTTGTGTTCTGTTTCGTGAAAATTTACTAATATTTTGCGGTGGCATGTTGTATAGCGTGAATATTGAGAAGAATATGAATGGAAAATGGAAATAAAAAAAAGTTTTTCTTTATGTATAAGAAAAAGAAAAAATCCACTTTTTTCCTGATCTAATGTTCAATAAGCGCTTTTGTAAATCTCTCGACTTATCATCAAGAAAGACCTTGCGAATTATTCTTTATCTTTTTTTCTGTTTACTAGATTAAGTTGAAGTTTTATTTATACAAAGGATCTTTTTTTTTTTTTTTTTAAAAAAAAAGTGCAGATTACTAATTGTATGTGAAAATTTGTGTTACGATTATCTTTAATGCAGGTCGTTTCTTCATTGTGTTTATATTGGATAACATTTTAGTCGAAATGTTCATCATACAGTTAGTATATAACGTTAAATTGTAGTAAATTTTCTTGCATCAATTCATCAATTTCAGAAGTTTCACGATTCTCATTTTGGATACTCTTCCAGATTGTATTTTTGAAACTTTATTATAGATGCCTGAAATGTTATATACTTACTTTTTATAGCTAAAAATTGAAAATAATTTACAAAATATATCCAATTATGGGCATATGAATATTTTTGTCAATACGCTAAGTTGTAAAGAAATACAGATATGTGGTTCAGTTCTTACGTATTCCTTTATTAAAAATATTTTGAAAGGATATTAAGACTGGGAAAAAAATATCAATTTTTACTTAAAAAAAGGAAATTTTTTGGATAAGAATAATCCAAGATTAGCTTGTGCGATTTACTGGTTGTTCCTGCTTGATGGATTGAGAAAGATTTAATCAAACTTTTGAGATGAAAATATTTTTTTCTATCCTTATAAAATTTAGCAACATCATTGTTAATTTGTTAGCTAAAGAAATGAAGAAATAATGTATTGGGATGATCAGCAATGTAACACGATATCCCCACAATTATAATTACAGTATAATTATATAAAAAATTTTTTCATTTTTGCTTGTATTAAATTTCTAAGTTAATTAAAGTAAAGTATTGAAATGCCATTATAATTAACATTGTAAATACTGTATTATTAATTTCTATGGATTATTGGAAGATCGATTATCTAACAAACTACAAACTAACATTATATGAGATTTTTGACATCATTATGTATCTTATTATTTATATAAATTACATAAATTATCTCAAGAATCAACGAATAATTACTTATTACGAAGATGATTTTATTTCTATAACCTTTTTTCTCATTTCCATCATATATACATAATATTCAAAGAAAATATTACTTTATAACAGGAAAGATTCGTCCGCGTTTGATAGTTTTCTTTCGATCCATGGTGCCTTCCCTAAAAGCTAATTCTCCAAAATTTAAGCAAGGAATTAGATTGGGCGGCAATAACGACATAATGTTAAAATCTGCATCATCAGCATCTATTAATCCAACTGGTTTACTTGTCGTAATAACTCTCTTTGAAGGAGAATAGCCATCATCACTTGATGAGTCATCTCCACCATTTCCCATTGTGTTGCTCTTTCCTGGTGTCAAGTAACCTTTATCCTTTGAAACCATTGTTCTTTGTGATCGTGAATCAGTTCCTTTGATCGGAGTAATACATTTATTAGTATGTGAGCCATTATTATTATTATTATTATTAGAAGTAACAACACGCTTGCTTGTAGGCGTATACTCGTTCTTTGATGGATTAGTATGCGAGCCATTATTATTATTATTATTATTAGAAGTAACAACACGCTTGTTTGTAGGTGTATACTCGTTCTTTGATGGTGAGTGAACACGTTTTAGAGCTGGGGTAGCAGGATTTCTATTAGGTGAGCTAGCATGTTTCCTGGCTGGAACAATATTCTTTCCAGCTAAGGTTGAAAATCTTCCGGGTACCCTACAGTCACTCAACGACTTAGAAGTATATATACTTTGTTTGATAGTAATGGGATTTGGAATAGGGGTCGGCTTGAAGATTGTCCTCGTGAAGGGACTCGTGAAGGAGTTCGTGAGGGAGTTCGTGAAAGAGTTCGTTATAGGCCTCGTGAGGGAGTTCGTGAGGGAGTTCGTGATGGGCTTCGTGATGGGCTTCGTGAAAGAGTTCATGATGGGTTTTGTGAGAGAGTTCGGGATGGGTTTTGGGATGGGTTTCGAGATGGGTCTCGAGATGGGTCTCGGGATGGGTCTCGGGATGGGTCTCGAGATGGGCCTCGAGATGGGTCTCGGGATGGGTCTCGAGATGGGCCTCGAGATGGGTTTCTGGATGGGTCTCGTGATGGGGTTCATGATAGGTTCCGTGAAAGTAATGGGGTTCGTGATGGGTTCCGTGAAAGTGATGGGGTTCGTGATGGGATTCGTGGTGGGATTTGTGGTGGGATTCGTGACAGGATTTGTGCCGGGATTCGTAATAGGATTTGCGCCCGGTGGAATATATTCTACGCTAGTAGTGGGTATTTCTACGATATTACTCCATTCCTCAGGAATAAAAATTTCATCAAAGTTCACTATAGACAAAGGGCATGTTTCAAATAATTTTCGAAGTTCAGATGCTGTATTGTGTCTCCTTTCAAACGGTTGAATTATCACTGGCAATAAACCTCTACGTTTTTTTTTCCGACTTTGACCAGATGGTGCTTTAGATTGCAATGAACTATCAATATTATCTGATGATCCTTTTTTAACAGTTACCAAACATTTGTTTGATTGTTCTTGGTAAAAATCTTGCTTCCTTTTTTTGCTTGAATCATCAATGTTTGTTGTTCCTTCATCGCAACCGGAAGCTTGCCGGTTAACAAATTCAATAGCGTCCTCCTTAAGCTTGTCATTATTAAGAGTTGAATTTGTATCGATCTTTGCACTATTGACAGATCGGTTTCCATATAAAATCGATGATTCATTATTGGATTTCTGACATCTCGTGCAAAACCACTTTCCACTGATACTTTTCGCAATACTATTACTGATTTTTGGGTCATGACACAATTGATGATAACCAACATTGCAGCCAAAACACACGCAGATAAAATTTAAGTATAATTCAGGTCCACCACAAATAAAACAAGTAATTGAACGATTTCCAATCTTTTGTCTTTTTATTGCATTAGACACAGGTGTATCATCTTCACTTGATGATAGTTCTGGTATCCAAGACTGCCAATCATCAAATACACGTGAATTATGGTTATTTTCACCAGTCACCGTGCTGTATGAATCATCTGTAATGGTACTTGAACTACAAGAATCTGCCTCGCTTTCTGAGATAACAATTACATCGGGCCAGTTTGTTTTTGGTTTAGTATTATTATTATTGTTCAAAGCAGGACACTTCGTGTCATTTTCGGCGTCAGAATCTGTTTCGGAATCATTAGAGTCATAATTAAAGCTCATACTTTCATCAGAGGAAGAAGGTGGTGACGGAGACCAATAATTCTTATCTTGTGGGTCCAATCTATTATGCTCATCTAAAATGTTACGGAAATCAGAAACGCGACGGCGTTTCCCTTTTAAATCGTTGTCCATATCGCCTAATCTATGTTAGTAGAAAACTGTTTTGGGAAAATCGGAAAATCTGGTTAAATAAACAAATTCTAAAACTGGGAAACGCCCAAAACAATGTGTCACTGATCAAATCAAGGGTATGATCCCGTGAATATGTGACTATGTGACTAAGCCACCCAAGTTTACATCACTTTCACACTCATATGACTTCATGTCAACACTGCTTCAAAAGCGAAATTGAAATCTAGATCTGTGTTAGATCTCAGAGTATGGCGAACCCACAAGTTGATGAGGATTCTTGGACAACTTTTGAAAAACTCTTGCTTATACAATCTGTTTATAAGCATGGAGATAATTACCTTGCCATTTCACGTACATTGAAACATCATCCAATGGTTTCTCATACCCCAGATTTTTTTACTGTAAAGGTTGATTTATCGATCTAAAAACGATCTTATTCCAAGAAAAATTTTTTTTTATTATTTGTTTTCTTGTTTGATCTTCAACCAACTGTTTCTATTATTAACTTTTTTTGTTTATAACTTATATTAGAACTGTGCCAATAAATATAACAGTTTAGTAGATCCATTAAAGAATGAAGCAGAAATTGAAGAGTATGTTTTTTATTTAACGATCCTTTGGGATATTTAGTTCATGTATCAATGGATCTATAAAATTAGAATATTATAAAAATCGAGAAATTTAATTCTATCACGGTTTTTTGGGTTTATTGAACAATGTATGATAATTAGATCTTGGAATTCATTTTTTTTTTATTTTTCTTTCATTAATCCTGAATAAAACATCAAAACGAAAAAAAACGATAATTTTAGTGAGCATAAAAAGAGATCTGGAGAATATGTAAATGGTATTGGAGAAGATTTTATTTATATTTTCCAATTTTTTTTTTAAACCAATTGTCCAAGAAATGTTAACATTTTATAAAATTATTTTATTATATTGTCTCGAAATTATTAACAGACAAGCAACGTATGCCATGGACCGCGAAATTAGCTCGTCAGCTTTATCATGAACGTATTGTTGAATTGAAATCAGATATTAAGTTAACCGAAAAAAAATTTCGGTAAAAGAGCAGCTAAATTCTTTAAATTGGCATTTTATAAGTTAATGCAGATCGAATATTAAAATTATTCGTTCGTTATCTATTTATAAAAGGGATATTGTGAACGAAATCGATGACATTAAGTCAGGAAAATCCGATAGTAAATTTATCGAAATAATAAAAAAAAGGGAACTAGAGAAGTCATCAATGGCAGAAGTATCTAAAGAATCAACTGATACAATTTCTGACGTGAACGTTAAAATTGAACCTCCCGTAATTCTGTCGGATAATATTGAATCTGTAATACCGATGGACGTTGATACAACAAGTGCAGTAATAGAAAAAGAAATACTAACAGAACCACAAATAGAAATCAAACCAATAAACATAGAAATGGATCCGTCATCAACGGCAGGAGTTATGAAAAATGATGTGAATCCACTTCCGACATTAATATCAGTTGAAGTTAATAAAGATGTATTACAACCTCAAACACCAGCAACACCACTTGCTGAGCCAAGTGAAAATTTGGTTATTGATCCCTTAAAGGAACAAAATGTTCAAGCGGCAACAAATGGTGCTACAAATATGGAGATACTAAAAGACAATATTGAACTTCCAGTGGAAGATGTAGTTAGTATGGATATTGACGATGAAAAATCTACAGAGAAACCTACAATTGAATCATCGGTTCCTGCCCTCGAATCAATATCTGAGACGGATGTCTCTAAAACTGAACAAGCTAAGAAAATGGTTGTTTCACCAAATACAGACTCCGTTACTGCAGAAGATACTCCGCAAACTATCGGTGGTGATGTTGCAATGGATCTATGTGAGCATAGTGTGGAATTCTTGCCAGAAGTTACCGGCGAAAGTCCCGAAAGAACCCATTTTACTGAAAATCTTGTGTCTTCACCAACTTCGATGGAAGAAAATAAACAAGAAACTCTAACGTCTCAAGAACAGTTTGAATCCGAAGTTCAACCTAGTAAAATTACAGTTAAAGACGAAACAGAAAATAAAGAGACTGTTAAAGAAAAAGGCAAGGAACTAGAAATTTCGGAAATTACATCAAAACAATCTATAGTTCCAACAAAAGAAGAAACCGTACAAGAAATAGATATCATAAAATCAACAGAATCTTCGCTTACTGAGCCAGCTGCTGAAACAAAGACAAATAAGGATGTCATCTCGGAAGAAGTCAAAGATGATGCTGGAAATATGAACGTGGTTGATTTGTCAGCTCTTCCGGAGGAAAATGAGGAGGATAAATACGATTCAAAAGAAAAGGCCATAGCTACACCCCAGACAGAATTCAAGGAACCTTTAACTTCCGGTGTCGGTGTAGTGCCTACCTCCCCAATTGTTGCCATAGCGACTACTCCTTCGGCACCACCTTCAACTCCTGGAGATCGTAAGCAAATATTTATACGAAGTTAAAAACTTATTATTTTTATTTAATTGTAATACTTTATTTGTTTTTAATAGTTCCCCCCCCAACACCCAATCTTCAATATGATACCGCACCAACTCCCAGTGGTGAAACATCTGGTATATTATTAATATTTGAGCATTTTTTTAATTCAAAGTTTGTCTCACATAATTTACTTATATAGATGATAAGAAACTTAAAACATGGCAGAAGCTAGTTAATATGATATTACATGAAATTAATAATCATCGGTTTGCTAGCGTTTTTCAAAATCCGATCAGAGAACAAGATGCGCCTGGCTATTATGACATAGTAAAACAGCCAATGGACTTAAAGAGTTTGAAAAAACGCCTTCGTGAAGGGGTAATTTTTATTCGATATATATTTCTCGGTATTTATTATAAAAAAGTTAAACGCAATTTTGTTTTAGACCATCCACGATACCAATTCATTTCATCGTGATTTAATGTTAATGTTTATGAATGCCTCGGTGTTTAACAGAGAAGAAACAGATATTCACCAAATGGCGTTAGAAATGAAAGATCATGTTGAAACACAAATCTTGGATTTTAGAAGAAGTGAAGGCTCAGGAGGGACACATGAGCCGGCTACACGAAGAAAGAGTATGGCCATAGACGGTATGAAACTACGGCGTCTTTAATTATCCAATTTTTATTTATAATATGAGGGAAATTTGACATTTTTAGAATATTTTATCAAAGTAATACTCAAATTTATTATTTATTATTCGTGATGGGTACTTTTATTCTTTCTATATAGCTAATGAAGCTGTCTACTTTACAAGCGATAGAAGAAGTGAAAACGATAGACCTACTGTTGCAAGTTCTTCACTCCGTGGTAAATTCAAGGATGATACTGCGGATCATCGACCAATAAAGAAGCCTAAAAGATTATCTGTCTCTTTAAAAAAATCTGAAAGGGATATCTAAATATAAGATTTTATTGAGCTATTATATCAACATTTCAAATTGTACCGTATTTACATTCTATTTAAATTTGAATTTGTCTTGGGTAAGATATTCCTAGTTGAAATTTAAGTTCTTCTCTATCCTTTCACTGTATTTTATTCTTATTATTTGTTTTGTAATTACAAATTTACAGTGAAATTTAATGATATATTGCAAGTATACTGATTGTAATAAAAGAAAAAATGGAGATAAGGTTCTCTAATTATAATTATTAAACGGATCCAGTTTTTTGATATTTTTAATATTCTGCGATTAAAAAGTTGCTTCATTCCTTCGTAGAAAATGTGAGAATAGTAAATTTTATTTACAAACTTTTTCCAATATTTTAATCTACAATTCAGAAATGTGTGAATCATCTTAGTGAAATTGTTTCAAATATAAATCGCTGCAAAAAAAATAAAATATTTCGTTAGAAGACCCATGAAATAAATTAAAAATGAAAAATAATCAAAAAAAACAATCAGACCCAATTAATATTCTTTCGGAAGCTATCCTAAAGAATAAATATATTTAAACTTCGAGAATGTACATTGTATTAAAATTTTGATAATTCGTTTCCTGCATACCTTATTTTTTTGTATTCTGACTTAAAGATTGCCTATTTAAATTAGAACCTTTCTTTTGTACCTGAATTACTGGAGGGCGGCCTAATGTTTGATTACTAATATTAATAACAGTTGGACCAACATCCACCGTGTTGTTATCATCAATAGTAATAGGATTATTAGGCACGCTCCCTAAAGGTCTCATATTAGGCTGTCTAGTCAATTGGATTAATGCTTGTTGTTGTTGTTGCAGCTGCAGAAGATTAGGCGGAGACTGAGTTGCAACCATTGGTTGAAGTATAAAATTGTTATATTGTTGTCGCTTGATCATTTGTGCATTAGGAAGTCGCCCAAAAGGGTCGTCATATGTTATAGTTGGACTTATTTGTGACGTTAACATGTGAGAACCTTGTTGTAATCGAGATTGCGTTGTTTGCTGCACACCTTGTAAATTTAAATTTAAATTTGGCAACATTGGAATTAAAATTTGTCCATTATTAATATTGCCCGTACCGCTCACAGTGGTGTTAATTACACCTGTATGAACGGTGGGATAAACATTATGAGACTGATTTATTTGTGAAGTCGCAACAAAATCAATAGAGGACTTCATCATAGCTGTACTATTCTGTGGTGCTGTGACAGGAATTTCTATATAATAAAATATTAATGGGTAAGAATATTAAATTTAAAAGCAACTTCAACTTAAGAACATAATGATAATAGTAGCACGTTCAGAAGAATTAAACGTGTTATTATGTACCGTCGTCATCGTTCACAAAATGTATTAAACGTGGTATTGCATTATCAACGTGTTGCTGCTCAACATGTTTCCACAACGACAACATAGAATCGAACTTGTCCGTACAGCCACCCCATTTACAATTATGTGTAATGTTTTGACTCGTTTGGTTTACCATGATTTATTAATAAAAACGCGCAAAAACGATAACAAGATGATAGAACAAATTGTTCAAATTGTTCGGCGAATTTGAAAATTACTTATAATTACTTATGTTGTGTAACATCAAATGAATTTAACGGCTTTACGTCACTTTTTTTTGTACCACGGAAGAAGTTAAATAAAGATCTATATAACGTTTATTTTAAACACTTATACTTATTATTATTATAATAAAAATTATTGTAAATCTAATAAATAATTAGTTGCCTTTTGAAGATCGTAATCATGTCTTACTAACGCGTCAATAGCCTGCTCTTTTGTGAATCCCATGTTAATAAATTTGTTTATTAAATCAGAATTATCATCACTATCATGCTCCTCATTTTTAGGAGAAGACGATGATGTAGGCAATACCTCTTTAGGAGGAATAGGAGGGGTAGAATATGGTTGAAGTAAAGGACGACGCTCTTGACTAGACGATGGAGCCGAATAACTTTTAACGGGTGGAGTCGTATTGTTATGAATATTTAAAGGTGTATTTTGAGAAATTTGTAGATTGGCAAGATTATTTGATAGAAGGTCCGGAGCAAAAGTCTGATTGGATAATTGAGATGGTAAAGGTGCTCCTACAGAAGGTTGAAGGAGTGGTGACGCATGAAATGACCTTGGATGGTTTTGGTTAGTAACCATCATATCATGATTAGCGGAGGTTCCCAAAAAATTAGAAGATCCAGTTACACCTCCATTCGCAACAAGATTGTTAGCTTCATTGGACGATATTGGTGACCTAATAAAAATTGATATGTCATCTTGAATTATGTTTGATTGTTCCCAAGGTTTTCTAGGGGGATCCTCAAATTCCGAATAAAAGGATTTCACTGGTTTAGTCTAAAACAATCGAATTGGTTAAAATAGTAAATAAAATAATTTAATATATAAACGATCTTGATTCAGCTATTTATTTTCATGGAAATAATGCAAATTGTAGCCGATATTTACCTCATCTCCCTCCTCCTTCGATTTCATCTTCCCATGTAATACCATATCATCCGAAGCAGATCGTACATGTACTTTCTGTTCATCTATGACATTTTCGCTAACATTGATTATATTATTTCCGCTCTCTGCCTGTTGACTGGTCTTTCTTTGTGTATTATTTACTGGAACTGGTGTTAAAATTCTCAAATTTGTATCCAAAAATCCTGGAGCTATTTTTCTAGCTTCTTCTTTTTGTTTACGAATTCGTTCCTCTTGAAGTGCCTGTAATTTTTGAGCACGGAGTTGCGTTAATGTAGCATTCTCTTGTTTATATCTTTCGGATTCTGCAATAATTTGTCGTTCTAACTGAAAATCATGATTTTTCTACAATAATATAGTAAATAATTGAGGTAATAAAAGTTAAATTGGCTATTATGGAATTAAGAACAGCAATATAATTACTATTCGAATACTTGCTACTTGAGGCAGATCAAGGTTAAAATCTTGAGATAATGTTATCTAATAGAGTTATTTAAGAATTCGTTATAAGATTTTCGAAGTATCATGGCAAATGTAAAATGTTCAAATGTAAAATGTTTAAAACTTACAGATTTTAAAGCAGAAAATTGTGGTGCTAAAATAAGAGGAACGTCTTCAGCTGCAGAATAAATCGAAGAAGCTGTCGTATGTGCCATAACAAGGGAAACTTGACCCTCAGATTTCTTAGTAACGTATTTGGAAGTTATGCAAGATTCGATTATCACGTGAATAGTTAAATTATAATTAAAAAAATAGATCAAAAGTAAAGTTTTACACTCAAATCATTGTTTCGACCAATCAAGTAGAATTTGAAACGTGAAAATATGTTTAAAATGTCCGCAGTTGCACGGATCCTCATCACACGTAATAAATACACATCTTCCCGCTTTTTACTTTTTTTACAAATTTAAACAATCATGGTTTTTGCGATTATTTACTATACGTTTGTACTTCTCTTTGCTGGTCTTACTTATGCCAGCGTTGAAGGAAGAATACCTGTGGTACCTCGACTACAGTACCTTGTTGTTCTCGGACTCTCGTTAATCTCTGAATGGCCCTTGCCCGTTATAGTCCTTAAAATTGTTCTTATCAACATAGCCTCATTGCTAGGGGTTTTCAGTAAGTTTATGAAAAGTCCAAATAATTTTGAAACCCGTCAAATTTAAATAATTTTATTTATCCTTTTTTTTTCAACCTTCATTTTTTTTAATTTTAATATATTCAGGAGGAATTATTCCACAGCTTTTTTACATAGTTGATCTCCTAAATATGATTGGGTGTGTTAAAGGTTTTAAGTCAATTAATTCTTATGTAGGTTGAATCTATCATTTGATGACTTATACCATTTTGTTATATAAAAGACTCGTCGTCATTTTCATTGACGCAGATGAAGCAAGACGTGCCATTGAACAAGCCATTAAGTCATATTCAGATCAAAGAGAATTACCGTCATTTACAAGGTACTTATATCAAGTAATCGCTAACTATATATATTAGCAACTTATAATGTTCCTGGGACAAAAATTTCAGTGAAACTTTCTGGCAAAGAATGGTGAATCCGCATTTTGTTCCTCAAAATGTTTTCCAATATGCCGATAGTAAGTTCAATGTTATATCATTTGATTTGATAGTTTTATTTGTCAAAGCCCGTTTATAACATTTATCATTCTTATTTTTTAGTTGGTTATGCTACTCATTCAGAGAAATCCGAAGCGACGAAAAATGATTTCGAACAAGTAAATTATTTAACATTAGACGTTTATGCTCGCAAGGATATATCCAGATCTACTTCAAAACCTGTTTTCGTAAGTAAATTCATAAGTATTCATACTTTATTCTGCTGAATTTATTCAGATTTTGATAATTTATATTGCTATAAAAATGTTCACTAGATGTATATTCATGGAGGTGAATGGATAAGAGGAGATAAAGCATCTCCATATCCATTGATACGTCACTTGGCTGAAGTTGGTTGGGTAAGTGTATTAAACTGGATTGAAAATGAACTTTTATTATATAATGTTAAAATATATTTCTTTCATTAGGTTGTTGTATCTATAAATTACAGACTTGCACCAATATCTTTCTACCCATCTCAATTGATCGATGCTAAACGAGCTTTGCGCTGGGTCAAACAAAATATCGAACATTTTGGTGGAGATCCAAAGTTTATAGCGGTAGCAGGTAAATTTCTAAATGTCTTATTGAATTCCTCCGATGTATATATTTTATTATTTAACCTTATCTGACATAAATGTGATTAAGGTGATGATGCGGGAGGCCAGATTGCCGCGGTGCTTGCGCTCACACCAAATAAGCCAGAATATCAACCTGGTTTCGAAAACGTTGACACATCTGTAAAAGCTTGCGTCTTGATTAATGCTATTACAGACCTTGTAGGCGAACAGAATTCATGGATCTCAGACTACTTTTCAAAGAAAATTGCAGGACGACAAACGAAAGATATTACATTTTTGAGAGAACATTCGCCACTACATCTCATCAAAGAGGATTCAGTCCCATTTTTGGTGTTTCAGTAAGTTTTGAATTTTACGCCAGTTTTTTAAAAAAAAATTCCTAATAACATGATTACCAAATTTTAGCGGCGATCGTGATACATCAGTACCTTTTAAATCATCCAGTATTTTCGTTGAGGAATTTAAGAAAAGTAATATTAATTTGACGATTCATTTAATTCTGATTTTATAATAAATTTTTCATCTCTAATTTTCATTCCGGTTAATAATTCTAGACTGTAAAGCCGAAATTCAATTTATCCCGATTCCGGTAAATTGTTATTTCATTAATTTTAACATTTATTTTTGATTAAGCTTTTTGTTTTAAATTTTTATACGTTTTTGTTTAGGGTGGACATCATGTATATAATCTTTTCTCTTCGCCTCGGTCACATTATCAAGCTATTGGCGTTGAGCAATGGTTGAACCACATCCATTCCGAAGAAGGAAATGGTGATTATGCATGGGTATCGAAAGAACATGATTTTTCTGATTAATCTATTTATTTGTTTGAACTTTTTTTCTTTTATTTTATATATACAAAATCAATGTACAATGTCAACTTTTTTTGCTAATATAACTTATAAAGCATAAAATAATTTGCTAATATAAACTTATAAAGCATAAAATAAGAATATGTTTATTCTTTATCATATAATATTGATGATTCGTCACTTATGAAATTTTGTATTAAATGCTTATCGCCGATCTGGCAAATTACTCATCTTCGGCTCAATAATAAATTATTGATAGAAATCAAATTCTATTAATTGATTCAACAAAATTATAACGCAAACAAGACTCGGGCAAACTTAGTTTATCTTTATTAAATTACTAACGATGCTTCATAAGTTTAGCCATATTTTACTTCTACCCTAGATACCATTGCCTCCGCTTGCTCGTTCCTGGCTTCTTGTTCTTCATATCTGCTACGCATAACTCTCGAATTACAAATTTGTTCAAATGAAATTATGTGAAAATTGTCTAGAACTATTATGTATTTTTTTACTACAGCATTTTTGATTCCAAATATGTAATAGCATGTGTGTGTAAATTTACGACATAATTATATAAATAATCATGACCTGCAGCCATTTTTGGTCGTTCGGGAAACTTAATACAAAAACTTCAAAAATGGTTTACGGAAATACACTTTTTAATAATTATTATAATCACATGGCACCACTTCCACAACCACCGTCGTCGTCGAAAAAAGTGCCTAGAAAGCCAGTACCACAAGGTCCTTCGGGAAACGAATCTGTAAGAAATTCTGGATAGGATGTGTTTCGTCCTTTGGCTCGCCGTTTTGGTTTTATCCAACAACAACAAATAATATAATAAATCTGAACGAGAATCATTCTATCCACATATGGCTATATAATAAAAGCCAGAAGAATACTTCGCAAAATGTAGAACCAAACTCCTAAATGGCCATATAAAGACAGTACGAACAGTAGCTTGGAATTGCGACGGTCGAAAACTTGCAAGCGGTTCCGTTGATAAAACAGTGAGATTATGGGAAGCGGATCAAGTAATATACGTTTCTTAATTTTTATATTTCATTTTTGTTCTTTATGGAGTTTACTAATAAATGTTTATTTTATCAAAACTTTATAGGAAGACATAAAATATTCCATCAAGTTACTCGGACACGAAGAAAGTGTAGATCAACTTTGTTGGAGTCCTCAATCACCGCACGAACTAGCGACAGCTTCGACTGATAAGACAGTTAGATTCTGGGATACACGTGGTTCGTATTCTATTATAAATGAATCTTGAAAGAATATAAAATATTATAACTTACCATGAAATTTAGATGTAAAGCGATGTACACACGTCGTGAAGACTGACGGAGAGAATATAAATATCAGCTGGAGCTGGGACGGTTCAATGGTTGCAGTTGGTGATAAGGTTTGGTTAAAAATCATTAAAATTTTATTTTATTATTAAATTTGTAATCTTAATGCAAAAATTTTGAAAAGGATGATAAAATTTCATTTATCGATCCGAGACATAAACCTTCACCGGTTATAGTTAAAACTTATGCAGAAGGTGATGATATAAGAGATGAGGTAGTATAATGGACTTATAGATATTATGGCTTGAATTTTCTCAATTCATTATTAACAAATAATTTCCTATTCGAAAGATTAATGAAATTAGTTGGAACCATGATTGTTCGTTGTTCTTTTTAACGACTGGTTCTGGAGCTATTAAAATATTGAAATGGCCTTCATTACAGCCAGTCCATGTGCTTAGAGGTCATACTGCAAATTGTTATTGTATTGATTTTGATCCAAAAAAACGGTAAGCTTCTGATAATTATAAATTTATAAAGATATTTAAATAATTATACTGCACTATATATTATACATAATTATTACTTACAGATATGTAGCTGCTGGGGGAGCGGATGCTCTGGTTACATTGTGGGATCTTGAAGAATGTGTCTGTCTAAGGTCATTTAAAGAATTAGAGTAGGTCGTCGCATATTTGTCTTGAAAATTGATAACGTTCGATAAATGTTTATATAAATAACTTTTTTAACAGATTCCCAGTGCGAACGATTAGTTTTACTCATGATGGAGTTTATTTAGCAGCAGCTTCTGAAGATGAGCATATTATTGTCGTAAGTTGTAAAACGGTTATGGTATATTTTATTTTTATTTTAATTAATCTGTTTCATAATTTATATAGTCAAATGTGGAGACTGGCAAAACTGTCTACAGAATTAAGACTATGGCTGCAACTAATTCTGTGGCATGGCATCCAAAAGGTTATCTATTAGCATTTGCTGGTGACGAAGAAGGGATTCAGGATCAAAAAAATTATATCGGTTTAAAAGTATTTGGTTTTAATGATTTAAAGGAATGAATAACAACAAAGAAGGAATATTCTTTTAATTTAATTTTATTTTAGATTTTTGTGCAATTGTGTTTTTACATTCACAATTAAGGAATTTAGTGATCGTAGATTTAACATAAAGCATTTGAATAATTATTAAAATTATATAAATTAATACATCTTTCGACCTTTTTTTTAAAGTTACTACAATAAAATACTTTTGGTATTTTGACGCCTTATTTGAATTCAGCGTGTATTATGATCTAACCTGTGTGTAATGTTTCCCGAATAAGATAGTTAACTTTAAGTTTGGAATAATAATTAAGTACAGCAAAAGTGTCGTACTTTGACCCTCCTGGTGGCATCATCTTGACCACCCTTATTGCAAAATATATTATGTGGATCAAGTCAGGCCAAGTAAAGCAATACTGATAATAGAATTTTGTCAAGTAAATTTTTTTTATTTTATTTTGATAAATACGTATTTCAGTTTTCAAAAAAATAAGTTTCTTCAAAAAATAAAAAAATAGAATTTATTCGTGAATAATAATATAACATTTGTAATTTACTTATTTAGCGGATGTACATTGATCTTCCTTAACTTGTTTCAAAAAAAAAACCTATTACTTTAAGAGTAAGACTTTTTTTATATTTACCAAATAAAAGGAATAATAGCTTTTCTTTCTTTAGGATATTCTTTAAAGTTTTCTCTATACCATTTTAAGGTTTGTCTTGCTCTAGGAAATAAATTCGCAGGTGTTGCTAAAGCGAATAATAAAGCAGGTAAACTATACCAACAAGCGATAGCAAATCCAATCCATTCGATAGTTTCACCAAGATAACTTGGACAACTTACATAATAAAATAACTTTTCATTTGGAATAAAATATTTTTTCCTAATATCATTCATAGAATTATTACTATTATCATCAGATTGATTTTTTTCATCATCATTCTTAATATCGAATTTTTTTTCTAATGAAATTTTTGATTGATTTTTTCTTCTTAATTCAAATAAAATATTATCATGATCAATATTTATCCACATTCCAATAAAAAAAATTATAACACCTAAAATAAATGATAATTCTTTATATTTTTCTTCAGGATAATTTCCAAATACTGAAATCCATCTACCAATACTATAACCATTAATTAAATTAAATAATATCGCACTTGAAAATACCATTAAATTTATCGGAGCAATATTTGGTGCTCTATAAGTATAAATTATTGAACGATTAATATAATGAATTAAAAATAATGATACAAGAATTTTTTGACTTGTAGTATAAGATGATAAATTAATAGAAGTTTCAGAAGTTTCATCATCATTATGATCGATAAATGGGGATGGTGCTAAGAAACTATAAAGGAATGTTGCTGGAGAGACCAATTCCATTAAAGACCATCCTAATTTTCCCGGTAAGTTTAAAAAACCAAGTTCCTTTATATGAAATTTTCCTGTTCAAATTTAATTAATAAAGAAATGATTTTTTTTTTTTTTTTTNTTTTTGTTAATAAAAGTCAACAAAAAAAAAAAAGGAAATGAATAAAATAAACTTGCCATAAAATGCCTTGGAAAAAAGCAAAAAGACAAAAAAAATAATTGGAAGATAACAATAAAATGATAAAACTTTATTATAAAATTCCACTTCATATTCTTTTGATATGATAAATGATCGAAAATTAATGAATTCGTTCATAATTTCGTACATAATTTTTTTAAAAAAAATTAAAAGCTTTTTATGACAAATAACTAAAGATAATTTAACTTTGAAGAAACAAAAGAAAAATTATTTGAACGAATGCTTTAGCAATTAACACATTTCTTGTTTACCCCCCCTTATCCTTAAAAATTATATCATTGAGAAAATTTGTCAAATTAATAATAATGTATTACAATAAATAATTTGTACTACGAAATATGTTCCCATGTTTTTAGTTGTTTAAAATTGTTTAAAACATTAAGATTTGATTTATTTCTTGTTAATTTATGTGTTCAAAAGAAAAATATGCTTCATTCTTTTCGATTTATAAAACAGAGGAGGAACAAAATAATGTATAAATAAATAAATAAAAGATTATTGTTTACATACAGATTTTCAATATTACACAATGATCTTTCTACAAATCGAATATTGAATAACAATTACCAAATAAACAATGAATGAACCAAAAAGTGAAAATAAATACAACCCAAAAAAATTGTCAAGCTAATAAATACACCCAAAAAAATTCAATTTAAACAATCCATATATCAATATACACAATATCCTTAATGCTCAACATACAAAACTTGCTGAACATCTTCATCTGCCTCAGATCTTGATGCTTCTAATAAGTTGGCAAGACTTGGACTTCTTGAATGACTCCTGAGAGTATTAATAGCTTTAACTGCATCAACAGCCTTCCTGAATGTTTTACGAGCATTGAAGTTATCTCGAACATTGTTCAATATATTTGGCCGTTCCCCACCAACTGGGCTAGGTAAAGGTTCGGTAAGCCATGGATGAGTTAAAGCTTGATGGGCGGTAAGACGACTGTAAGGATGGACAGTTAATAGTCTGTTGATAAAATCTTTTGCTATATATACGATACGGTAATAGAAATATTAATTTTAGGTTCACTGGTTAAATCTAACTCCAACAAGCATAGATATTTTTTGAAATGTACCAGTATCACTGATTCCTTCCCAGTATTCTTGATCAAATTTATAGTCAGCATTGGTAATAGCCAGCATTTCCTCTTTGGCGCTTTCCCGATCAAATGGCGTGTAACCGCATAATAAAAAATATGTGATTACACCAATAGCCCATAAATCTACTGGTTTACCATGACCGGTTTTATTGAAAATCTCGGGTGCCTAAAAAATCATTAAAATGTGACACAAATAAGTTCACAAAATTTAATAAATTTAATGAAAAATTAATTATTACCATGTAACCAGGTGTACCACACGTGGTGGTAAGAGCATGAAATTTTTCTGAATCAATGATCCGAGAAAGCCCAAAATCAGCAATAAGGAGATCAGATTCTTCGTCTTCGGTTTTAAAAAGAAGATTTTCTGGCTAAAAATAATATGAGTCGGTAATTAGTTATAGAACGAAAAAAAGAGGATGCTTGATATTTTTTTATCCCATTAAATGCTCGAGAAAAAATTATTTTAAATACCTTAAGATCTATAAATTATACGAAAATAAATAATTTAAATAATTTAAAAGGAGGCTAAAAAAGAAAGAAAATCGATATCAACTCACCTCTATGAACGATTCCATTATCATGCAGGTATGCGACAGCCTCCGTTATACTCCTAACAAGATTAGCTGCGTCACGTTCAAAATAACTTCCTTTAGCTAAAATACGATCAAAAAGTTCACCGCCACGAGCCCAATCTGTAACTAAGTAAACTGAAAAAAAAAAAAAAAAAATTTTTTGAAAATTAAACAAATGGAATGAATAATTAAGTAATCATTATAATACAAAATCAAAAAAAATTATGAATAATCAATTTACGATTATTTAGTGTCTCGAAATAATCAACCAATGTTAAGATGTTTTTGTGGCCCTGTGAAACTCGCTTTAAAACATTTATTTCGTTTCTAACCATATGCTCTCTACCTTCCATCAACTTTTTGTTGATGATTTTGACGGCAAAAAATTCCCCCGTCTTAATCTAAAATATATTTTGTAGATAATTTAAATATAAAGATTCTCTTTACAAAATATTATTCAAATATGCTTAATTATGACAGCGTAAACAAAAGAAACGAAAGTTACATACATGCTGAGCTTCTATAAAACGCGAATAAAGAAAAAAAAGTGAAATTAATATTAAAATGCTTTGATATGAAAAATGCAAGCTGGAAAAAACGAAAGGCGTGTTTACTAGATAAAAACGCGCCAAGATAATTCTAATTTCATAATAATTGCTTAGAGAACAAATAAATACGAACCTTTTACCACAGCATAAGTGCCTTGACCCAGTGTTCTACCAGTTTTATACTAGAAATCGATAGTCCACAAAAGTATAAAGAATTCCATTAAGTCATTGAAATTTTGAACCTAACATAAAAAGTTGTTAGAGTAACATATACCTGGCAAGGGACAGTAACGTTTGCCATTTATAAAAATTACAAGGATAAAAACTATTAACTTTGGTAGAATGGAAGAAAGAAATGTTAGTCTTGTGTTTCCTGCATTTTCGATAGTGCGGTTACATTAATCTGTGAAACGCGGGTTGACCAAAACTGAATGAGGCTTGGCCCAATTAGGGTGGAAAGGAAAAGACGCATTGACGCCATTAAATCTTCGGAGAAATAAATTTTTTGGAAATAATTTACCAAATCAAGCTTGTAAATTTCGTCTGTGTGGCGGAAACGTCTTTGTATAAATGGTACATATGATTATGTTACACATTTATTTGTTTGGATTTGTAATATCAATAACATCTAAGAAACAAATGCTGTAATTCAAAAAAAAAAAAAAGATCACACAAAAGTTGACGGTATAGTACTAGTATATCGGACCTATAGTCTTATCTAACATTTTTAGTAGTCATTAGACATTTCTGACATTTAACATATTATTCCTGAGATAGATCACCGTAACGCAGCATTTCTTGTATGTAAAAATTCACGCGTTCTCAAAAAAGGAATTCGTATGCCTTTTTTTTACATCTGAAAATCTGTTCCCTAAATTCCGAATAATTTGATAAAAACGTCAAAAACGTCGTTCTACTTGAATGTAAAATCGATGTAATTTTTGCAACCCTAGTTCTCATCATAATTTGTATTAGAGACCTGAATGGGTCGAAAATAAGTATCAACCCAAGATTTATCAAGTTTTTGCGGTTCAACAGATGTCAAGATTTCTCATGCCTATATGCGCATAAAGCAGATCAATAATATGCAAACTATACTATATGCAAACTACTATGCAAACTAGATTATGTAAACTGTAAAAGATAGATCGTCAAATGCGTTACGTCACTAATCTACCAAAGATGTAGAATTAGATTATGTGAGAATTCTTTGAGCTCAAAAAATTTTTATATTAGAGGATTTCTATCATCATTGTTTATCCAAAGAGAGCTCGATTTAGTGTAGATTGTACAGGATTACTTTGATTATATCTTGTACATTTTTTTTTGTCAAAATTTTTTCTGACTTCAAAAGTCTTTCAGGTGGACATCTTTAGTAAATAACAAAAATGGGGCATTACGAAATAATTCTTAGCACAATTTAAATTTATTTTTATTTTTTTTTAAAAAAAAATTGATATTGTAGAAAAATTTAATCAGCCAAAAATTATTTAAAATTATAAGGTATAAATATTTTTTTTTAAAAAAAAAAAAAAGATCGAGGTTGATCAATCATTATAAATTCTAATCTTAAACCTAACTCAACCTAACTTAACCTAAACAAACTCTAACCCTACAGTTTAAGTGACTGCACAATGTTTTAAAAACGATAATAAATACGAATTGTTATATTGAAACACGAACAAATTAAAAATTTTGTAACTTACATTATAATTTTAAGCTTATATGTTTAGCTCAGTATATAATAAAAAATTTATGCGCATTTTCATTTTTCTCCCTTTAAAAAATCAAGAAAAGTTTCCTTTGACATATTCGCAACTTATAAAAAAGAAAAATCCTTTCAATTTATGTGAATAATGAGAATAAACCTTTACAAACAAATTTAATTTGACAATTACCATCTTCAGTATCTCTTGATGATAATTTTGTTTCACCACCAGCAGCTTTTATTGCATCATTGGTAACCTTTTGAGATTTATTAATCGCGTTAAACAGCTGCACGACTATTATTGATGGTTCAATTAAATGAGTATATATATCTCTATAATGATAACACAAATATAATTATAAATTTAATAAACAATACAACCTCCTTTTGTGGCTAATTTTCTCAATTTTCTTTCGTGATCAAATGTAGCGAAGTCAGTTTTTACACGATCTTTGGAAGCAAGTTTCTTCTTTTCCATAGTCATGGCCTTACGCGCCTTATATTCAAGTTTAGCCTCATCTATTTCGCGTTCTATACCTTTCGATCTTGATAAAACTGGAGTATTCTGAAAAATGAAAATATAATTATTCCAGATGAAATGAAATAAAATAAATAATCGAATTCGATCTACTTAATATATATTACTTGATAAATTGGTTTTACGGGTGCAGTTAATAATTTGTTCATAGTTTCTGCAAAGTTGGCAGTTGTATTCTTGGACTGTTTTTTCATTTCTATGACAATCAATGATAAAATGGACGAGTTAATTAGATATTCAGGTTAAATGCTGAAAAAAGGAATCAAATTAACAATCAAACCAATTATTTTTTTTTATATTGCGAACAGTTGGTTATTTTAAAAATTCCTTTCTTTTTTTTTGGTTGAAATGTTGATTTGTTCCCTTCTATCAGCACTTACCATATTTAATTACAAAAACAAAATAAATATAATTAAACTGATATTAACTTGGAATTGAATAATGATCCGTCAAACTTTCATCTAAAAAATTTTAACTAATTTAAGTAATTCTTCATGATGATACGAATTAAATTATGCAAATTTTAATTTGAGGAATTTATTCTTACCAGAACTTGTTATTGAATTTTTTTCACTTTCCGATTTGGAAAGTATTTCTTCTTCTTGTTTTTCAACGTTTTTAACTTTTTTCTTGTCAGAATTTTTTGATACATTTTGACGGTTTTTTACATGTTTAATAATTTTATCTTTTTCTCTTTTTTTTTGTTTACTTTTTATTGAATTTGATTCAAGTCTTTTTAATTTACGTTCTCGGTTAGAATTGATTCGACCCATCGTTTTATAGTTTCGAAAAAAAAAATTTTTTTTATCAGCAAGAATTTTTATTACGTAATGTTTCTGGATAGAGTTACGATCTACTGTAGCACAAAGATCGACGGGATTTTAGATCTTCAATTTCAATGACGAAGCATTACGTTACGTTGTTAATGCGTTAAGTTTTTTCACAAGTTTTCAGTTTTTCCGTTTTTTCTTCAAAAAACAAAATAAAAAACAAAGAATGGCTCAAAATCAAAATAATGAAACTAACGTATTAGCTCCTGAAGCAGTTTTGTCAATTCTTGACACAAGTTTAAAACCTACTGAGGAAGGTACGGATATAATACTTGGATCAAGTCAAGATGCTTTGGCAGCATTATTTCACTCAATTATGCAGGCCGTAGGTTTTCGGCTTGTCGGGCTTGGTGAAGAAGATAATTCAGGTGAGTTTGATTTAATATTTATGACATTCTGAATTTTATATGAATTAAATAACAAATTACTAAACTCTTTTATAGAAGAGGATAATAAAATTACTAACAGAGATACAGAGGGCAATGTTGTTGGGTTACCGAAAGGATGGAATGCGCATGGTCCCAATTCTTACGCTTTTAGATATAAACATCCACAATCATCATTCACATTCTTAATCAAATGTATGCGATTGTCCAATAAGTTCATAGTTCACGGTATGGGAATCGAGGTAATAATAATAAAATTTATCTACTTTTTTCTTTTTTTTTGATTGATCATAGAATTTTCATAAATCTAAATTAATATATTAATTATTTAGGATAACAGAACAGTAACTTTTGAAGTGATCACGGACGATTATACATCCCCATCGTTTTTCCCACTTACAACAGAAAAACATAATGTAGAACCTATTGTTCATGGATTCATATCATCAAGTCGTATCAAAGATATGATAAATAATTATAAAATAAATATTGTGCAAAAATTAATTCCAGGATTAAATAAACCCGGATACGAAGAAAGTGGTACAACGTAAGTAAGAATAATGTAAAATTTCAGCTATAAGAAATTCGATCTTCATTTAAATTTTTATTATTAATAACATTTAATATAGAACAACAACTGCGCAGCCTAGTGCTACCCGTCAACAAGAACCTATTTATAATGATCCCTTACGCATTCCTACGCGTCAGCCGCCACGTGTTCCCCCAATTTTTGATGATCCATTTGGTGGCGATGAGCCATCAAGGTATGATAATATTAAAGCTTTAATCGAATCTTTCTCCAACCCTGCCCTTAACCAACCTCATTATTTCTTTTTAATGCAGTATCAACCCTTTTAACATCGGTCGAGACGATTTAGATCCACTTGGTTCAAATCCAATTTATGGTCCACCAAGGTAAGTTATCTGAAATTCAGATCACAATAATGAAATCATAAAATAATATTTCAATTATCTTAGGTTTGGTGGTGGCGGAATACATCCTTTCGGAGGTCCAAGCAGAGGTGGTGGAATGTTTGTAGGTCCAGATCATCCTATATTTGGACGTGGTGGTGGTGGTGGTGGTGGAATATATGGAGGACCACAACCTTTACCAAGGTATGAATGTATTTAAATTAAGTGATTCTTCGAATTTTTTTAATTTAATATTCATACTAATCATATATTAATTAATAATAGAGGATCTGTTCCACCTGGCGCTAGATTTGATCCAATTGGTCCATTTGGACCCGTGGGTACACCACGTGGCAGATTTGGACGAGGAAATCGAACTAGGTAAATTTGTTAAAAGAGAAATAATATTCTTATTTACTAGTTATTATTAATACTAATAATTATTCTCCCTCTAAAATGAATAGTGGTGATCCTGATAATGATGAACTACCTCCTCCAGTAAGTTAATAAAAATCCCACTTTATAATTTAATCTTTTGAGCTAATTATTTTCTTCATTATTATAGGGATATAATGATATGTTCATGTAGTGGATAATTTTTCATCTTGATAATCTTAATATATGTTTATAAATTTTAAGATTACAATACACATATCATTTTTATTTATGTAGTATATTTAAATGTAAAAGTTCTATTAAATATTGATGATTTCAATTTTTTTTTTTTTTTTTGTAATTATTATTTTGATAGAAAATATTTCCGAGGTCTCACTTCGTTCACAATTTAAGAAACTCGTTGCTTAATGCGGGTAAGAGATCTTGTATTACCAATACGATTTAAATTTTTTTTTTTTTTTTTGTAATTATTATTTATACATAACCTAAATAAAGATCTATTTTTTGATTCGTTCTAATTCCCCTTTGACATCATCTAATTCCTTTGTAGTTTTTTCTAACTTATTTTTATAGATGGTTAATTGTTCTTGTACCTTTTTAGTTGCCTCTTCAATTTTTCGAATTTCATCTACTTCAGCTTGTACACCTATAAAAAAAACAAACAAAATAAATTTATATAAAATAAATAAAAAAAAATAATAAAGCATAAATTTTTTAAGACACAAAACTGTATGGATTAGTAGGTGTAGATCGAGGTGGTAATCCAGCAGAAGGATGTTGTAAAAATAAACTATGCAAATATTCTGTTGGTTCTGTGAATACCTATTTTTTAAAAAAAAAAATAAATATATATATATATATATATAAACTTTTTTAAAATCATTTACTATTTAAATTAATTAATTTTTTAATTGAATTTTTTTTTTCTTTACCAATTCATCATATTGAAAACTTTGAACTGGTTTATTCTTATTAGCCGTAGATATAGAACCATCCTCTTCATAAGGGTGTAACCTTAAATTATGATAAAGTGTTACAGGTTTTTCACCACTTTCAGGAACAAATTGTAATTTCATAGTTAATTCAAATTCTCCCCATCCTGTTTCAGTAAGTTCAAAAGGTGGATGTTCTATCACTAAACCAAAAAAAAAAAAAAAAAAA